GACTATGTAAATAGTTAGCGTGTACAAGACCAATAATAATAATACATTACCACTTCACTCTATCGCCATCACCACCTCAGTGCATTACCATTCACCTAGACGACCCCGAATCATTTCCGATCCCTTTTTAATTGCCTTCAAAACTTTAGTGAAATCGTTCCCTTAAGTGATGATGCCCTGAGGTGGTGATGCGCCGAGGTACCCTTGGTGATGCGCTGAGTTGGTGACATTGGAAAACTTCCAAGTTTGACGAACAGAAATTTACATCCGATAACGACCCACTTTACTACCAGGTGTCAGAGGGTGCGTAAAGTCAAAATAGGGTGCATGAGGATATTAGGTATGGTGCGGTGAGTCAAGCTCTTACCAAAATAGCTTCGAACCGCTCCGATTGAATGACCTCTTTCAATTCAACAAACCCGACAACAGAAATCCAAACACCATCCGAGAGTTCACCTATTCAACAGTCCCCATAGAATCGCTACCAGCCCTATCATCGCCCATCCCAATTTTGCCGTATCTATCTTGGGAACTTCCTTCGCCTCCGCCACCGCCGTCACCCCCATCACCTCTTCGGTCTGTTCTTCATTTTCTTTTTCCTCTGCTTTTTCCTTTTCTCCTCCTCCACCATCGCCGCTGCTGCCACCAACCACAATCCTCCTCACCATCCTCCTTTCTCCCTCCCTATTGACTCCCGAAGCCGCATACCTAACCGGATCTCCCATCCTGCACAACTGCCCCGTCTCCGGATGCTTAATGATACTTCCTCCCACCGGCATGAACAAGGCAGTTTTGCCTATGAGACTATATCTCGGAATCTTTCTGCCCTCTGTATGCTCCTGAACTGTCTCGTTTCCTTCCTCTTGTTCAAGAATCCATCCCCGGTACATATAACTGACCTGCATCTCCCTCAACTGACTCAATGCTAATGGGCAGGCGATGGTATACTTGGCTCGCTGGGTAGCAGGAGGCGCAAACACGACTAAGCCGTGAGGAATCGCGTCGCTTACTTGCAACTTATATGTCTCATTTACCTGGCCTCGGCGGTAATGCGCCGCTCCACCACAGACGGTACGGACGATTCCTTCCGCGACGGCAAGGAAGGCGGTGACGCCTTTGAAGGTAAGGTCGGGGTCTCGGGAATGGACGGTGGTGAGATGTCCTTCAACTGCTCGCTGGTTCGCAATATCATCGTCGTCGTCGTTAACAACAGACTTCAAAGACGCTCTGGCACCTGATAGCGCGCGAAAGCCAACTGCCAGAAAAGATGTGCAAGCCGGATGAGTCAGAAGCTTTGCGTACTTTGACCCTGGTCTAGGAAACGCTTGAGAAAGGCAGAGGCGTGTCCAGGTGAAGGAGGAAGGATCGCTCAGTTCTAGAAGAATGGCGATGGCCTCAGTGAGGTGACGGGTGTAGAGCGGGGTGATGGTGTCGATGTCTTCCCATCCGCCCGGTTCTGCTTTTCCCCCTTCCGCCTCTGCTGCTAATGACGAAGGTCCCTTGTCCCTATGTTCTCTATACCAACTAATGGCCCCTTTAGCAGCCGCCAAGCTGGTATGGTGAGGACTCTGCAACCCGGACGAGGTATCGAGAATGATAGCGTCCATCGCAAGTCCGTCCGGAGAAAGAGATGGGTTTCCGTCCAAAGCAGGATAGATAGGACTCGAGCCGAGATGGACGTAGTCATCCACCTCAGGTACGCATGCCCACCCTGTTTCTCTGGGGTCTTTATTCGCGACTTGACCGTGCTGGTGACCATCGGCGAGAGCTGTGCCAACGGCTGCTAGCACAGTGACATCTCCTGACGCCAGTGAGACGATGGTCGCTATCCATGCCCTTTCTGCCTCTGAAAGAGGGTCATTATGCTTGATAAACAAGCGAGTCCGAGACGCATTCAACCAAACAGAAAGTTTGTCCCTCTCAAAACCCGCAGCGAGACTCTGGATGACGGAGAAGGAGCTGATTTGCGGTAGCAACTTTCCTTCGGGGTCGCCCATCTGGTGCTGATTATTCGCCATCCCAAATGCCCTCCTCTTGATGAACCCCTCCGGGTCCTCCTCATATGTTTCCGGAACCCGACCACCCCAATAATAAGCCTCCTTCTCCTTCTCTTCCTCACCACCCCCCACTTCCCTCCGATATCTCTCCCTCTTCCTTGCCGTATCCGCATTCTCCCCCGAAAACCACTTACTCGCAACAGAGTTCATCAACTGCAAAAACCGATTATCAAACCTCACGATCTCCACCGCCTTCACCTCCCCCGGCTGCGCCCCCGGGTCGGTAGTAACAGGCGTCAGAAACACAATGTTCCTCGCCATCCAATACTCATGCGCGCACCAAGCTCTTATGAACCACCTCGCAGCGAAGATCCGTTCCACAGCCGTCCACAGTCTCACTTGTTCCTTCTCCTCCCACTCCGGCCCCTCCGGCTTCTCCTTCCTCTCCACGCATCCAGCAAACTTCATGATAATCGCCGCATCAGCAGGACTAAGTCTCACATCTTCCAGACAAACAACCACCACGCGAGCACTGTAGTAAAGCGCGTCCATGGCGCCTATAGCGACAATCTTTTCGGCCTCGTTGTTCTGGTCAATACACCACTGGTCTAACCACACCGGCTCCTCTGGACTGAGCCGCTCAGCAAGGAAAGCTTCGAACATTGCCGGCGCAAGCGGGTTATCGGGGATAGAGGCGTTGCCATGTTGCAGACCGAGAGAAAGGGTCCAGGCACCGGGGTAGTGCCAGCAGTAGCTCAACGCGACGAACGAGTTTACCGGCTTCGATGCTTTGCTTTGCGGTTTTTCCTTGATTAGCCTTATTGGGTTCGGTTTGGCGCTGCTTCGTCTTGATGTTGTGTCCGGGTCATTGACGAGGACTTTAAAGAGGAACTTGTCGAGTGCTTCGTCTAGAAAACTTAGTTGGTCTGCTGTCCATGGATCGAGTTGCTTGATTCGATTGAGAAGGTCTTGGCCGGAGTGTTTGGGTTCGAAGTCGAAACTTCGGGAGAGCAGCCGACTTGAGGTGTCTGATGAGAGCTCGAACAAGGCTAGGGGTTGTTGAGGTGGTCCAATTGGGTATTTGTGAAGCGAGCATGTGAACTCATGAACTTGCTTGTTTTCAGTTTTCGTGGCCATCTTTGAAGAATTTGACATTGATGGCGGCGGGCTTCAAAACAAATGGGTTGCGGGAATTGCTTCAGGTGAGGTTGTACGTATGCCTCGTTCTACAAAGTTAGCACGGTAAGGACTGAGCATGACATAGAAGCGTACCACAAAGTATGAATGAGCAACAAGTGATGTAGTGGCTGAAATGGTGATGCCCTCATCAACGAGCTTCAATTGTGTGGTTGCCTGATCCCGCAGGTCAAAGTTGGTGAAAGCGGCAGTGTCAGACCAGATTGACAATTAGTGGGTAATGCCCCCTCTTTATTCTTGTCCAGTGTTACCGTAAGTCCGAACACAATATCTTGGCGCCTAACGGGCCAGTCAGTGACTATTGATCCTTCGTGCGCTTATGATGACGGCGACAACTTCCAAGCCACAATAAGGTAACGCAGATGCACAAACAGATACCAACAGGGCCGTATATTAGTTTCAAATTGGTCAAGTCAAATATTTATCTGCATGGCAAATAAAAGAATAAATCCTCAAATCGAAGAAAGAAAAATGAAGGATAAAGACACTTATCATAACCAAAACAGGCATAAGCCACCAAGGAAGCCATCGCAACACATGAACACGGGGTATTAGGAATCCTAGCATCCACCGCCTTCATATCACAAAGATCAGTATTTTCATCAGCTTCAAACATATTATTGAAGATTGACTTACCACCGCCACCGCAACCACCACCACCACCTCCTCCTCTCCTCCTCCTCCTCCACCACCACATCCACCACCCCCTCCGCAACCGCCGCATCCCTAAGCAAAGAAGAGGCGTCAGCATTGGTATCTAGTGATGAAAAGCCAGACCTGCTTGTTGAACCGGCCTTCGCGCGTGTGAAATAACTTACCCCTCCACATCCCCCAGCACCACCACAGCCACCCGCAGCAACACCTCCTCCGCAAGTTCCCGCAGCACAAGCTCCATTGGCTCCGGTCCCACAGCCGGCAATGTATCCCGCACTCCACCCGTAGTACATGCCCGGCGCGAACCAGATAGGATACATGTACGGTCCAGCCATGTAATACGGATATCCCCAGTAGTCGTAGTACGTCTGATCGCGGGGCGGGATCGTTCTGCCCTTCTTCTCTGCACGCTTCTTGGCTTTGGCGTAGGCGGCGTCCAGTCTCTTCTGGTTAAGAGCGGCGAATTGCATGCGCACGAGGTTCTGGGTGGTTAGGTCCTTCTGGGAAGGATCAACATGGAGCATCACGGCGTTGTGCGAGGAGATATGGGCGGATTTGTCGGGTGGGCAGAGCTGGGCTTGCCCGGAGGTGTGAAAGGATTCGGCGACTAGTACATTAGGGGAAGTGGTCAGTGAGGTTTCGAACTGGGTTTGGGTGGCCGGATCGTAAACGCATGGGGATACATACTTTTCTCTGACTTGGAAACACCCAGCACTTTACCGAGAGAGTTCACGTGTGAGGTCCGAATAGCTATAAGACGGGCGTTGTGGTTAGCATCGAGAAATGGGGAGCTCGAAGGAGTTCGGTCAATTGATGCCGGTTCCCACTTACACTCGCAGTACCAGCAGGTGCACTCGCTGTACACCTCATTATATGTATCCTGATACTCCTTGCTGGTCCACTCGAATTGCTCGCTCAATCTGCCCTCCTCAACCTTGTCATCATGGTCGATGAACTTGTCGGTTTTGCCAGTACTGTATTCGTAGTACTTGCTTGGGCTCAACTGGTGCGTGTGCCAAGCGAGATCGATATCCAGCGTAGGGACAGCCATTTTGGTTGGATTCTTCTGCATGATGATGAAGAAACGGACATATTTGAGCAGAAGGCGTTTCATAGTGTCCGTTGCCGAAGGGCTGTGCAGCCAGTCGATCTTATACATCTTTTCGATGAAGATGCCTTGACGTACAACGGCTCCAGCAAGGTCGAGGGCAAAGGGGCTGAAGTTCTCCCAATAATGGGCCATCATTTTGCGTATGGCGAGCTTACTGGAACGGCCAACCCTGTATGCCGCGCCCCTGTGGCTCAGGTACTTGTTGATCTCCCTCAGCCAGGCGCTGTTCCCAAGAATTGCTTCGATTTCGACACGGATGTCTTGCATAGTAGGGTCAGGCTTGGAGGTCATGAGCGTGGTCACCTTTGTGCGAATAGAGTTGCATCCACTTTTGAGAAGACGGTTGGGAAAGGTGCGAGGGTAGATGGACCTCTCAGGCTCGGGCGGCACTGTCGCAGGTCTCCCTGTCGTGGTTTCCAGTATGGTGCCTGGGATCGGCCGGTTTGCAGGCCCAAGTAGAGCCTCGACGTCTTTGACAAACTTGAAAGCACAAAGCGCTTCCTTACAGATGACGAAACCACATTTCTCGCACAAATGCTTGAGGTTGCCGTCACCAAAGCCAGTACCAGTCAGGTCCAGGGGCTCGATTTCATCATAAAAGTCTTCAGGCCGAGAGCATGTTGTCCAGGGAATTAACAAAGGATTGTTGCATTTGGGGCATTGCATGTGTTTGACGAGTGGGTCGGCTTGGTTGTCCCAATAGCGGCCGGTTTTGCTCGTCCATTGGGCTTTGCACTGATCCGATACGTTGTAGCTAAAGTCCGAGTCGATAGCCGCGTTGATCAAGTGCCACGGGAGTCCTCTGTTCCAGAAGCCTCTCAAGCCAGCTAGCATGGCATCTTCGAGGAAGGCACGGGGGTTGAGCATATGGGTATGCCAGACCATCAGAACATCTGTGCAGAATCAGCGTGTTAGCAGGAGGTAGGAGGCAGGAATCACTAATCCTAACAAATCTTCGTAGGAGGGCCTGAGACGTACCAAGAGGAGGTAACTTGTCCTCACTCCAGTCAAAGGTAGCGCTGTCATCCGTGGGAAATGCTTCGTATCCATAGGATGTGTCTTCCTCCATGTCCTCTTCCGTCAATGGCTGGCCAGGCAGCGACTTCCACCACGCCTCGTATCTCTGGGTGGCTCTGGCAAGGAACAAGGCCCATCGCTTCTCGCGGATCTTGCTCAGATTCTCGAGTGTCTTCATGGCGGTCTTTTCCTCATCTTCCGTTGGGCCATCACCAAAGGGTTTCTTGGAGTCAGAAGGAGTCTTCTTGGAATCGGCATATGCGTGTTCGAGTTGGTCGAGGGGTCCGGCAAGAGCGTCCCACAGTCCCCAGAGTCCATCTGTATAGCCGACCTCTTCCTTTATCGACTGGATGGCGAACAGTAGCTTCAGGTGGGCAAGACATGTCTCGACAGTTGGGTCGGAAGCCGCGTTGGAAAGGCTCAGTTGGTCAAAGGCAGCTGTCAAGTCCGCCGTAGCTGACTCGTCGACGGTGGTGTAGGCCGGGGGCGGTGCGAGCTTGCCATCGATTTCCTGTCCATCTTTCTCGTTGCTGGTTGCAATGCTTGCCGTCGCCGATGAGGTTGAGCGGCCCAATCTTCCGAAGATGGATGATCGTCGAGACATGTTGGACTCGGACCTGTTTGTTGAAAAGGAATGGTACAGTAGAATCCCGCAAGCACACAACAAAGTCTTGTTTGATCTAATCACTCAGGTCAATGATCGATTAGCTTTCATTGATATTGGGGAAGAGTATCATCAGCATGGCAAGGTAAATATCGCGTCCATCGTAGGTGGGAAGGAAGCATCTTTATAATGGTTAGCCAAATCGAAGTCGAGCTTGAAACTGACAATGAATGTTACCGCACATAGTCATGTTAATGAAGAGCGGGAGTGACCTAAAGGTAGGTACCCTACCTACCCTTTGTTTGGACCCCTCTACTCCCTCTGTACAGTGTGGGTCACAGCGGAAAAGTGGAGTCTTTGGTAAGCCTCAACCAATCGGATCTATCATTGACAGGTGCTTTGGAAGGTACCGAGAGAGGTACCTACTGACCTTCTGTGTTTCTAGGGCAGGGCAGCTCATTGTACCGACCACTAACAGACTCGCGTCCTATCAAGATATCCGAACGAACACTTCGAGGCACTGCATGGACGGTGTAACGGCTCCTATGGAAAGCTTATTTCATCACCGCCGCGAGATCTAATATCTCGGTTGTCCAAATTCGACACCGAACGTAAGCCTCGGTGGCGTTTAGGGACAGGGGCGTCTCTCTCCTCCTCTTAAAAGTCAAGATCGTCCAAGTGGCTTGTGGCTTGATATGCGTTGCCCATTCACTGGAAACTGTTAGCGAACAGGCAGCAACCGAACGCCCAGCTTGCGGGTGAGGTGGGGTCACACGGCGATCACGCGAGTTAAGCTCAGCCCCAAAAGACAACCTCGACCTCATGCTTCACCCGCTCCCGCAATTGATCATGCAAGGTTCTCGAGAAGCCCAACGAGCATTTTTCTAGAAGGCGGAAACACAAGCATTGGAAGGCTTCGCGAACTTTGCCTAAGAGGAGACTGGACTGCTGGTGGTGGCCGAAGGCTCGGTGCCCCATCCGGCTTGGCTGCAACCTTGAGCCTATGACATCAGGTCAGTATCCGACGGTCCTGGGATTTTATCAGAAGCAATTCAGATTGTTGACATCAATGTCCGTTTGAGTGGCACTGTCAGCCATCGTCAGGGGCAACTCAGCGGTCGATCAAACATCTGTGGCAACCTAGGGAACTCTTCTGACAAGACGGAATGAACATAAGCGTCATTCCCTTCACACGTTGCGGAGCTTAAGACTGACAAGGACATCAGGATCACAAAAATCGTTTTGACGATGAAACAAAGTTGCAGAATTGCTGATTGAAAACATGTCGACTATCGCCGACAGAAAGGCAGTCGAGAAACACCAAAGCTGGGGGCCATGACCCGACTATCTCAACTCGGATGTGGCATTCCGAACAAGAACTCTCTTCCACAATGTCTTGTTTTCTTCAATCTCGCTGATTAATCATCATCGCCAAACCGTTTCTTGGTGTATCATGAACTGATTTCGACCTGCGGCTACTATTATGTCAAGTGACGGTGGTTCTGTGTCTCGGATTAGGACAACAGCCATGTATGATCAAGCGAGCTGGCTCCCTGGGGCCTGACCAAACTTACCCACAACTAGGTATAGGCACACCCATCAACATCTGTTTCAGGATCTTATTGCTAAATGAAGGATGCTGTTCACCAGCCATTGATGGATTTCAGCACTGGGAATTATCTCTCAATGACTGTGCAAATGGGCTGTGGCACGCCCTTCGTCCTCGGCCACTCCAGTACAATAGTCAAATGACCAGAACCGCGTAGGCGGCGTTTCAAAGGCAAAGGGGGTTATGCCTCTTCAGATAACACCTGGTTTCGTCTAATGTTTTGCGCAAAGTCTTGCCTGCATCACGGCATCAGCATGCCTGGCCTGAGCTAGTGTTCCACATCGCGCAGGCAACTATCTGCTCAGGGACCTTGATCCACCAACCTACCTGTTCTATTCACTATGCCCTGGCGAAGGTTCAGTGTTTATGAGGCCTTTCAAGGTCCTGCGTCAACAACCCGCAGGCGATTCACTCGCATCGAAACCCTCGGATGGTGCAGATACTGTATAGAAATCCTGCACTTTTCTGGGCTTCACATAAAATTAACCCTTGATCAACTGGTGGTGTTTTCCTTGCCTGGTTTGTTCCCACACGCGCACGTTTTCTTGCACTGCGAAGCGAAATCCTTTCCCATCGCCATCACGAAAATCATCATCAAAATACAAGCCAACAACACCCAAAGTCGTCGATCCAGACCTCCATTAGTACCACAGTAACCATGTCGCTAATATCACGAGAACACCGTATTCGTACGGACGAGCCTGACTACAAGGCCATCCTCAAAGATTCCATCGATATTGTACGATGTCGTCCAGAAGAGAAGTAAGTATAAGTCAGGATCTTGGGGGCATCTCTTCAGCTTTAATTTTCATAGCTAACCCTCGTGGAACTAGCATCACTTTACCGGCCTCCAGCCGCAACAATTTGATATATTTCGATCCCCGATTTGATTCCGACAACTCGACTGGGAAGGGGGAGGAAGAGCTCAGCAAGCTATTTTCTCGTTTCCAAGAGCTACCGGCCGAGGTTCGACAAAAGATCTGGATGATGTCAATTGATCCTATCACGCTGTTCAGCGACATTTCAGCTTATCAGGGCACTGTCAGCAATGCAGTGACTCTGCGCAAATATGGGGGACCGATCGAGAGGGAACAGCGCACCCTATGGCTTGGGACTCGACAGCACTATGAGCTAATCCGACTCTTCCAGATAAACAAGGAGACCCGCCACCTGGCTTTCATGCACTGGGGAAGCCCGCGGCCTTTGTCGGCTGATGAATCTGCCCCCTATCTTTTTAATCCACATAGGGACACTCTGGGTGTCCACCTGGACAACTGGGCCCGCGCTATTCAGGAAACTGACAGCTCCAGTGCCTGGTACGAGACTTACGTTAGAGACCCAGACTTTCGTGTATGGCACGAGGCCATTGCTCCGGCACCTATCTTTCTGCTGAGCCGGATTCACAGAATTGAGCTACAGCTCGACCGCGTCGAGGACATGCGTACTAACGGCTACGACTGGACCAGCTCTGGTGCGAGAAACCCCTTGACCTTCCTCTTCCACTTTCCCAACCTCCGCCACCTCGTTTTTGCCTTCCGCCGCCCGCAACTCAGCGAGATCCCGGAAGAGGGCGGAAGAACCGTAGTCTGCGGAAACCACGTTGTGCCGATCACGGAAGCCGTCCAGTCCCACGACTACTACCACCTCGAAACCATCCAGTGCCTCCACAGCTTCCTCGGCCTCTTCCGCCATCCCAGCACCCGAGACAGAGCCAGGGCCACCTTCAGAAACCTTCGCACCATCGGCATCACAGTCAACCTCAAGCCCGCGCTCCAGGAAATCTACTGGTTTCCCTACGGGCCGACGACGCGCGTGGCCATGGTGCCCAAGGGCATGTCACCGCTTGATTGTGTCGACGACAACAGTTTGCAAGAAGCTAGCCGGCCGCCAGTTTCTCCCTCTCCAGCTCCTCCCCTTGCGCACTTCTCTCATGTGCAGTCGTGGGATGACTGGGTTCAAGACATAACCGTAGCGCCAGCCGCAGCGCAACTGGCCGAGATATTTGCCATCAACCCACAACAATCTCCCCTGGAGCTCGACCAGAGTGGAGGAGATGCATCGAGTACCGCTGTGGCGGTTGACGGCTCTGCCATGTCCGAGTCGTTCGCGCATCCTATGTTCGGTATGTCCTATCTAGACTAGTTTCTACTTTTTTACCCAAGAATGAAGGAGCTCAATCAGCGGATAAAAATACGTAACCTGCTGACCACCGAATCCTTCTAGGAGAGGTTCCCGACACAGCTGCTGATGACGCAGACAATTGAAGTATGGCGGGAAATAGCGGACATAACTACTAGTGGTAGTGGGATGAGGAATTTAGGGGGGAATGAGTTTGCGGGTTGACGCCGTCGACAAGAAGAACAACAACAAGCGAGACAAATACCTGATCGTGGAGAAGAATACGGGTGGGAGGAAGAAGATGCAGTATTATCACTCCGGCACGACATCATGGACTTGACGATTCAGTCAGGAGGAGAGAGGACATTCCAGGATATTTTAGCGTTTTCTGTGGCTTTTCTGGAGTTCATCCATTGCCTTAGCTACTGGTACAGACAGGGTGGTTGGCTTATTTCTAGACAGACAGATGTCCCAAGCGTAGGGGCGACAGGGCTGAAAAGGCACTGCGTTGCGTATTTTTAGGTAACGAAACTTAGTCGGTTTAGCGATAGCCGACGAGAAGGAAGGGAGATAAAATAGGATAAAATTACAAAATGAAGTATGAGAGGATGAAGCAGACTATTGACATGTGATGGTATGAGGGAAGGTCATGACTTCCTCAATGAATGTAGTTTATGATGCGCCGGTGTGCTTGCGGCGAACGAAACAGCCGGCGGGCTTATGTCCATTTCCACCATACCTGATGCTACGAAACGCAACGCATAATTCAAGTTCAGGAATCATTCTCTTCATAAATATAGATTGTTTAACGTTTGGCGCGGTAAGCAGGAGATATCGCAGAGTGTCCTCCAACCCCTCAGCCATCATCACCACCAGCGCAGCACGCGGCACGGGCTCGGGGCCTCCTATCTCTGCTAGCAAGGTGAACTTGATAAGCTCCTGCCAAGCCGTCATTCTTCAATAATCAACACTAGCCCGATTAGCTCAGCTGGTTAGAGCGTCGTACTAATATCTTCCTCCAGGGAAATATCAAGTTCATGCGAAGGTCAACAGTTCAATCCTGTTATTGGGCATTTTCTTTTTTTCAGTTTTTTTCCCTTTCTCTCCTCATTCTCTCCTAGTTATTGATCAAGGGTTTGCTTCTTTCTTTTGCTTTGGTTTGTCTCCAACTTTTTCTTTTCTGCTCCTTTTTGGGTGTTTGCGTAGATGTGTTGAGAGTTGATGTTTTCTGTGTATGGAACTTGTGCGTTTCCTAATTCCCACCTGTTTGCCCTGCGGACCGCCGAATGGTTCGGTGCTCGGAGGCCCGTGCTGTCCCGAAAGGTGGAGATTTGTCGGGGTGAATGCCGGTCGTATTTTGGAAGCGTTTGGGACGACTCGATTGGTGTTGTGCCACCAAGATGGGAAAATGGTTGAATGGAACTCCTTGATGCATTAAAGATGAAAGATGTCCATTGCCTGATGTGGAAAAAGTACATGTGAAAATGAAATAGCAATGGGAGGTGACCACAAAGTGCCCCTGCGCAATCGAACCAAAGTTTGGGGGGAACATTGAACAGTGGACAACCGCCTGAACGCCACTAAAAACCAGGTCTGTTGGGTGCTGTAAACGCGCAGTGGCAGGGCAGGGCAGAACCTTGTGTCGCTACGACGGAACATCGACTTCTTGATTTACTCGGAATTCTTTCTTTCCTTTCCCCTCCTCTTCTTTCTCCATTACCCTCTTCACTCCTATGCTTCTCTTCGATGTCCTTCTTTTCCGTATAATCTCTCGGTCCGAATGATCAAAGAAGGGACCTCAGGTGCTAAACGTTCCCGTTAGCGCACTAGTTGTGGGGACATCAGTGGTGGAAGCGGCCTGTTGTGAGAAACTCACCTGTAGCGATCCTACATCCTCTTCCTCTTCTTGGCCATGGGGAGCCAGCAACACTGTTACCAGCTTCCTTTTCTTTTCTTGGACTTCCATGACTCTCTGTGTAAACGGGGGCATGTTTGTCAGTTTGGCCGGTAAATCACCTACTGTAGGCGTTGTAGTGGTTGGTTACTCACCTCCTCGAACGAGTCTCTGACGTAAAACCGAACGGTGGTGACTTCACGTGTCTGGCCCATTCTGTGGATTCGCGCCAAAGCTTGTTCCTCGAGTGTTGGGTTCCTGTGGTTCCGCGTCAACACGGTGTTCTTTGTACCTATTTGATAATGGAGCTATCAAAGGTTCAGCACGCACCAATGAGGTTCCATTAGGAAGGCGTAGGAAGCGACCGTTAGTGTAAGTCTGGGTAGAGGCGGTTAGCAAGGGCTGAAAAAGGTCACCCAAGAAAGTAAGCTGAGTGTTGTATCTTACCCGACGGCGCCGCAAGAAAGCGTCAATAGCAGAACTCTGCAAGATGGATCTTGTCGGAACCGGTTGACGACATTTTGTCGCTCTCTTTGCGGAACTTTGCCGTCGAAGCGAAGGCATGGTATCCCCTCGGTCTTGAGTCCGGCCTCGATAACATCCAGGGTGGTTCTCCAGGTTGAAAAGACGACGCTAACAGCGCGATTAATACCATTTCCCAACAATTGATAGATCACCGGCGTACCTTTTGGTTTCATATGGCAAGGGCCTGAGCTGCGAAATAAGCGACTTGACCTTTGCGGGCATCTCAAGCGGCGACATCAAGTTCTTCCCATTTAAGAGTGCGTCGGCTGGCTCCGATGATTCGTCGGCAGTGATGGCACTTAGTGATATCGAGGCGAACGGGCATATTGGGTTATGGTCGCAAATGGGCGGCGCGCCTCGACGTTTGGAAATACAATCCGAGCACACGAACTTCATACATTGCGAGTAGAGGGGCTGTTGCAATCTCTGTGCTCCAGAAGTATCGCCTAAAAGACTGACAGTCTCGTCGAGTGAGACTTTGCAATCCTTACAGCGCACTGGGTCTATTCCTAGCTGAAGTTTGAGCGCTCTTTGGGCCACCGCGCTGTTCCAAGTGGTATCGGTTGATTGGCTTATAGGTGATATGTCCTGAACCTCGGTGTCATGGCGGGAGCGGTAATACAACCCAAGATTGCATACCATTCGCATGGCCTCAATCTGCTGGAGAACATTGACGTACGAGGGTGATCGCACGCCGTCAGCATTGTCTGCGTACAAGAGCTCATCAAGGCGCTCAACGGTTTTGTTGCGAATATCCTGATACAACTCCCTTTCAGCCGGAAGGAACTCTACCGGGCACTGCAGGTTGCGCCTTGCCGGCAGCTGGATGGTGGTTGCTGGTCGCCTCAAAATCAAGCAACTCGCTAAGCGCTTAAAGCGCTTTAGTGCCTCCTCGGCTTGCTCGGTCTTCCAAAGATGTGTGATATCAGCGTCGAAGCATGTCTTTTCACTATATGGATAGATCCTCAAGAACTTAAGCAAAGTCGCTATATCGGAGAGTTTGTTCTGGATGGGCGTTCCTGTGACGGCCCAGCGAGACTCCCCATCGAGGGCACATATAGCATGCGCCATTTGGGAATTGCGGTTTCGGATGAAATGGGCTTCGCCCATACAATTAGTTATTTGTTCTGGATATGACCCTCGGATACAAAATGGCTTACTCAACATACCTTCGTCTAAGATGATTCTTCGCCAACGCCTGGAGAAGATGCATGAAGTGGCATTTTCACCCGCTTTCTTCCACTCAGCTGAAACAGTATGATACGTTGTGAGAACAATTGTGGGTTGGTGACGGTCGTTTGATGCGGTAAGCCTGTCGTTTCCGTGGTGTCGGTACCATGAAAAGGCTCCAGGCACCACGTGCCTGGGTAGGTATCTCAGTGAGCTAAAGAAACCCGGTGTTTTGCAGGTACAAGATGAACTCACTCTGCCAGTTGCTCTTCCCATGTACCTAAAACTGTTGGGTGATTGATCAGCACTCTAATTCCATTCACTGCATTTTTGATTTCACATACGCGGTGGTGGAACAACCACTAGTGTCTGACCAGCCCGCGGCATTACGGTCTGCCTAGGGATAAGTGAGGCGCACATCAGATCACTCGCCGTCAGAGCAATCATGGTCAGAGTTTTCCCCAAGCCCATCGGGTCAGCAATTATACCGCCCTGGAACTCCTCCGGTTCTTCACATTGATGCGACCCAGATATCCGATTCACAAAGCTTCTATAGAGGTATTCAGTTCAGGTACGGCTTTACTGCCTTCAAACGATAAGGACTCGAGGACTCACCCATCTCCGATTCGATTTTCCACATACTTCCAAATATCTTGACGTTCCCCGTTGAGTGACCAGCCCTCCTCTCTTCTTTGCATGAATGTCAAAGCTTGCCTTTGATGCCTGTTTACGACTGTTGTCAGAAGCTTCTGGTATCAGTGTTCCATAAAGGATTTAACTTTACCTTGCCAAAGTTGTTTGAATTGCTCGAGGTTGGTCTGCCTCTGGAAGGTCTTGAGCAGATGTTATAGCATCCAGAATCCCTGGGGTTGGTAGAGTTTTAGCAAGCTCGACTAGTTGGGTTGTTGTTTTCCCCAGATCGGATGTCCAGATCATCTTTCCGGGTCTGTGGATGAGAGACGATGGGGATTGCAGTACCGCACGTGTCTGTCACACTGCGTTGGATCCTGCAAATAAACCTCGTATTCTTGAAAGAAGCTCCCAATATCCTCAAACATTTCCAGAGAACCGAATATGGTGATTAAAAGTTTGCAGTGCATTGATTTTCTGAAGTCTTTGGAAGCCTTGTGTTGCACATCTTGGTGGAGTGGGTATGCGCCTTTAAGACAGATCACACTCAGTTCAATGCCGGACTCGTTAAGCAAAGCATCCGTCAACAATGTCCAATCGTGGCTGTCGTCAGTTATGTCGGCAAGAATTGTCCCTGAAAACTCCTGATCGTCAACCTTGCCAGAAAACTGAGACGAAGAGTTCAAAGTGACTCGAAGATGCGAGCAGGACGTAGAGCTGTTCCAAGGTGAATGGCGGTCAAATCTTGCGGGTATACCTGGAAGCTTGTGAGGTGTTTCCTGTCAGCACCAGAGTGGCTATAAGGTAAAGAAGCTCAAGACCCTGAGCCGTCGGGCGATGCTATTCTTCCAGTTACAGATGCAGCAGTTGATTGTTTCACGGAGAGACTCACCTCGCCAAAACAGACCAGCTCTTGTTGGTCTTGAGCCGGAACATCATGGAAGGAATCGGAGCTCGGGTGATGCCCAGTAGTAGAGGCTTCACACAGAGACTTGAGTGGGGATTCGGGTAGCAATGACGATGGTACTGTTTGTGATGCCCCTGGTGTTATTCCCGTGGCTTGTTCCTGGAAGGGTGAATTTGGTGACCACGTGTCCCACGGATCCGGAATGGAAAGGGATGGGTGTGTATTCCATGTGAATGGCCAATATAGCTGTGCGTCTAATACAGCCGTTGTTGATGCACCAATGGCCACGGGCTGCGACCAAACATGTTGTTCTAGTGAAAAGGTAGTCAGCGGATCCGGTGACGAGCTTGATACCGGCGTGGCAATTGCCGTGTACTGCGAGTAGGACTGTGACTCTAACGAAAGACAAGAAGGATTTGGAGGGTATGGGAGACTGGGAAATGAGTTGGCTGACGGTGCGGCAACTCCCGCGCTGGGCGTTAGGTAAAGGTAGCTAGGCCATTCTCCGCCGGAGTTAGAAGCAAATCCAATGTTGACACTCTCACCAGATGAACTGCTTTCCAGCCGCCTTCGCTTCGGATTGCTTCGGTCCGGTAGCATTATCAAGTAGAATTTTGACGTAAGGAGTCGCTCGAGTGCAGCAAAGTGCTACTGACGGCGATTTAGGTTAAATGAGATGTGCCCGCCCCTAGAGACAACCTCACATTAGAGGACAGAAGAATGGTTGGGACGGGTGGAAGTGTAGATACATCGGGGTATTTGAGACAACGCGGATCAATGAGTAGTCTTGAGCCCATATCTACTTGATACAAGTACATTTCAATGTGTTGAATCCCGATTGGTAAAATATATCAACACCCACCTCGTAACATTTGTCTCGCCCTGCCAAGCGGTAGCTGAAGACGCGGGTTGCCATCCGGGTAGGTAGCCAAGCCATCACTTTGAAGTTCCAGGCGGCCCAATGACAACAAGAGACGTATAACCATTGATGGCGCAAGATAAAGGCGGTATTATTGAGATCGTGTATACTATAGAGGTAGTAACTCAAGTGTCTCATCGGCTGAGGGGACCCGAAATACCCTACACCAACTGGTATCTCCCGTTGTTCTCTGTTGCTGTGGGGCTCGTGCCCAACCATATGAGCCAATCCTTCCCCGCCCGCTCTTGAGGCAGAGCCTGAGGCAGCAGATGCACCTTCCTCGTTGATCTTCCCGCCGTCGTCTCATTCCCACCCTATCCCCCCACTCTCGACCCAACAATTCTGCCCTCTGCCACTCGATTTTTTCTTGACAGCCCCAAGATGCATCCTCCACGTCAATCGTCAGTGCTGTCGTCCCTGTCGTAACAATCCAATGGTTGACGGACCCGGTCCATCAGGCTCTCTCTGGGGCTCACGGTAGACACCTCGCCTACAGCAAGTGGCGTCCTCGCTGCATGCACTCAGCCCCTACTGCATCAATCTCAGAGCCTTTCTTGCCAGTCACATATCGACACCTTCAACCAATTGACACCGTCAAGGCATTCTGAGGAGGCTCAGCAACTTCCTGTTCAAATGGTGATGGGGGAGGCTACGGAGCTGGGGTTGCTTGGTGGATCGTCATGTTTGTGCCGCCTCCTCATCAGGTGTGTGTCTATTGACTTACAGTTCTGCAAGAGCTCCCTCTTTCCCAAGACGGTTTTTATTCCGCTCATGACTTTCGCACTTTTCTTTCGTACTCATAGTCATTTATGGTCCCCAACAGCTGTTTTTACAGCCCGACAAGTTTGGTGGTGTCGAGTCAATTGCTGTTGACAACATGCTCTGGAGTCAACGTTACCTTGCCCTAACCGAGCCAGGCAACAAGAAATTTCAGAATCGCAGCGATCATGCCACTCGTGGCGCGAAGTTCCCCAGAGCCGAGACGTATTATTCGCGAAGCATTCGAAGACCTCGAAAAGGTCATATCAGCGGACGAAGCGAACGATTTCAACACCACGCTACAGAGCGTGCAAGATGCGGCACTCGAAATTGAAAGTGTCCTTGCCGCGAGACAGTCCCTAAGGAATATGCGACGTCTCTCGCCTCTGTTTGACGCAATGAGATGCTACGCTGAAACCATAGAGGTCCTATGCAATGGAACTCCCTATCTACCTTGAATCTGGGCTCCCATTAAGCTAATTTTCAAGGCAAGTACTTTGACGACCACTATACCAACGCTTCGCGTGATACTGACTGGTACCAGGTTTCCTCAGACTTCACAGATGGGTTCGAGAAAATTATTAAAGCCTACTCAGGAATTGCCGAGTCATTACCAAGGTTCCAGATTATTTCGGATGCACTCAAGAACGACAAAGAGATGCAGAAAGTTCTGGTAGTCTTCTACGCCGACATTCTGACCTTCCACAAGGAAGCGTACATGTTTGTTCGGAGAATTGGTGAGATACCAGCAGAAATTGAATTGTTTTCACTTGGCCAATGTTCCAACACCTCAACAGGTTGGCGGATGTTGTTCCTTACCTCTTGGGGCAGATTCCAACGCCGGTGATTCCATTCTCGAAGACTTGCAGAAACATGGGACGCTCATCGATAACACTGGAAACGCAATAAACCTAAGCGAGACAGTCAAAATGAGCCAGAACCTGCGGGAGTGGCGACAGTAAAGTCTTGACAAGCTGAAGTCCTCAGAGGAAGAAGAGACTGCCAAACAGTACCAATAGGTAATCGGATGTCTGAAGATTGATGAGACCGAGCAACTCGCCATCTACGATGCCATTTCTGCCGAAGGAAATAAATACGATGGAACATGTGACTGGGTCTCCAGACACACCCATCTACGTGAATGGCTAAAAGCGACACCCACGCCGGAAACAGCCTTCGTTTGGCTACAAGGAAATCCCGGGACAGGAAAAAGCGTAATAGCAACGCAACTCGAGAGGTTTCTTCAGAGCAACGGAAAATCCATGGTTATTCGGCATTTTTGCACCTACACACATTCGTCTTCAGTTCAATATGAGAACATACTGCGCTCAGTGCTGATTCAGCTTATGCGAACAAGTCGCGATCTCATTGCTCACGCACATACCCAGTTTGTTATCAAGCAGAAACAGCCTACTTGCCAATGCCTGGATCAGTTACTACTGACATTCGGTACTGCTGTATCCCCCATCCCCTCGCAATCCAGGCTGGTTCATTTGGTCATTGATGCGTTGGACGAGTGCGACCCGGATCAACAGAGGCAAATTACGAATCTGCTTGAGAAGCTTCGACGCCTTCGATCTTCAACCTCAGCTGTGTTCAAAATTCTGTTGTGTAGCAGACGCACACCGTATCTGGAGAAGCGGTTCCGGAAACGGACCATCCGAGTCGTGTCCATGACCAACGAGAAGGGTAATATTGAGCCCGCGATCCGGAGCTACGCTAATCCGAGGCTCGTAACAATTCGTCATCGTCTCTCTCAGATGGGCTTGACCGATTCAGATCTACGAGGATTGAGTGCCGATATTGCTCGCAAGGCAGATGGTATGTAAGATATGTGAAAGCAACGCGTCAAGTTATACTGACAAAGACCAGTATTCAGGCATGTTTCTGTGGGCACGTTTGGTCCTTGATTATTTGTCGACGAACATCTTCTTCTCGGGCCGCGAGGTGCGAGAAGCAGTCGATTTGTTACCAATCAAGCTGAGTGAATTGTATGTTTAGTTTCGTATACATTGCATCGTTACACCATCCGCTGACTTTTACTTCAATGCAGCTACGCTCGCATTCTCTCCCAGCTTACTTCACGCTTTGATCAAAGGTCTGTTGAAAGGCTAAGGTCAATTCTTGGATGGATAGCCTTTGCCAAACGCCCATTGACCAGAGGTGAGATTAGATCTGCTTTAGCTTTTGGTCAGGGCGATCACACGGTCGAAGAACCAGTGCCCCGGTACATCTTCGATCTTGGGGCGCCATTGTTGGAAGAGCATCCAGATACCGCTTTTTCATTCGTGCACATATCAGTCAAAGAGTAGGTGGTTACCATCTCATCGACATAGTAGAAAAGCGAATCAGCATCATATGTACTAATATTGAAACATAGGTATCTCCAAACCCCCGGGTGCATTCTGTTCCTAGACCAGTTGGCCGCGACCTGTGAGCACGCAACTGCCACCATAACTTGTCTCATATCCGGGTTATGGGTATTTTCCGGAAACCTGGCAGATGATACTCGTATCAATCTCATAGTAAAGGGACTCTATGGCTTGCACATTTATGCCAACCATTTCTGGCTGGAGTATCTTCTGGATGCTGTATCCACAGCATCCAGGCTTGTCAAGGGCTCACCTCTGTACCGGGCCGCACAAGAGCTAGCAAACACCTTAAGCGTCCAGTCTGGTATTCAGACATACCCAACACCTGGGACTCATGAGAGTACGACTAGCCGGGATACTCGCCTGCAGTTTCTCGAAGAACACAAGGCCATATACGTAATGGTCCGGAAAGAGCTTGGAGAACGAACAAATCATTCCAAATTGCCGAAGAACGGAGATAAAGGTTTGTTCTCAGCTTAGCTTTATCCAATATTCACCCTTTTACAAGTGCTAACGAGAAGCAGTAACACTCACCGCTTCATCCCTTCGCCCACCAAAAGATTTCCAAAGCCTGCTCCTAGCCATGCAGTCCAGCATCAGACATGTTTTGGCCCTCTCAACAATCCCTGGAGTGCTACCAGAAGATCTTGATCGCTTCAAAAATGAGTTCCGCACATCGGCCTTCACGTGCCGCTTTCCAAATTTCTCAAGAGCCGCACTCAGATTCAACGATGAGAAGTTGCAGTCTGCACATGAAACTGGGCATACACAACGTATCAACTGTGTCATCCTCGGCTGTCAATATCCACCATTCGCTTCAACCCGTGCTCTAAGGGACCACGTTTCAAGATGCCATCAAACTCAGAACGCAATTCGCAAGAGGATCAAGCGTACCTCAGGAGGGAAATTGTCTTCAGAACCAGTGATACAAAAGATGCCTGCCTTGACTTCGATGGCCGACTTCTATCCCGGCTCTACCAGTTATCCACACCCTCCACCCCCTCCACTTCTTCTGACCTCTTGGCCAGCTCCATACCTCGCAGACCCTCCAACCTCTAGACTGTGGCCCCCAAGCATCTCGCTCTCGGACATAAATAAAGAATATTCTGTCATTAATTTCAGCTTCTTTGAGCCCCAACCCAATGACATCATTCCGCAAGACCAAGCTCATGGTCAGAGCAATCAGGGCACCTTGGGGGACTACATAGGACGTTCACTTTTAACATTACGCGGCACAAGCGAGGACCCGTCGCAGGAAGAGGAAGATCTTCTTCAAGAGTGGAAGGTAAGTTCAAATATTATCCGTTATGCGACAAATCCCATTCTTACGATTTGTAGACAGTTAATGAGGAGATCTCATCGCATATCCAGCCTACTGAGAGCCAGGTCGATGAGAACGAGGTTATTTCTGACAAAGAAGATCCTCGCGACCAGAGCTTATGGTATGGACTATCAGCATGGAATGACGAGGTATCGACGGAGGAATCTAGACATATGGAGCTGAAAGAGTTTGATAACTGACTACATAGAACTAGCAATTGAAGAGACCAAGGTTTGCGAGGGAGGGGATCCTGGTACGTGCCAGTACTTTTGTTAAGTAGAAGTGTGTAGGGCATATCTCATACTGTCTGTAGCAGAACGAATAAAGACAGAACATACTACCGTTAGTACATTATACCTCCAAACGCCCTGGACGTTCTTTTGAACCAAACTTCAACGCATTTCCTTTCTAGCCGGAAGGATCCAATGATGGACTCTGGCCAATGTCTTTTCGGTTCTTGGTGACCGCTACACAAGTTTCCGACGGCCTTCCCTAGCAAAAGCGAGGCGTATTGGACTGTCTAGGTATGTTTGGGTTATTTCCGTGCCACTTCGCCTAAGAAATCACGGGTGAGTGTCGCCTGCCATCCGGTCATGTCAACAGATTTCCCATCAGGGAAAGCTGTATTGCGTAAACATGCATCACGCGCGTATTACCTCAAGGTAGGTAAGGTAGGAAGCAGACTCGGAGCGTTGGCACTGCCAAGTCACCTCCCAGGAACTGTCAAGCCCCCAATAGCTTAGGTATTCTGCATGCGAGGGCTCAAAGACCTGTCTGAGATCCCGTTTCCCACACCCGAGATCCCCCATTCCCAATTCTAACCTTGACTCGGTCTCACAAACCAGAGCCCTTCGACCATCAACATCCATCCAGCGACTCAAACCCCAACATTGAGTACAAGAGCAAAAGCACAAACAATCACAGAAAGCCATGCCGCCACCAGAGTACACCTCCAAGATCCCTGCCCCCAAGGGGGACGCACGTGTTGGCGCCGGCCGGAAGCGACAGGAAAAGCCCGCATCCGCCGCCGGTCCTTCTTTTCTTCCCATCTGGAAAGCTTTGGTAAGCAGTTCCATCCTGAGCTCTTCCCACCGTGCTGGGCAGAGAGAGAGAGAGACAGAGAGAGAGACATCTCAACACCACATTGATTGATCACCACAACAGCTGTGTGCTAACCATAACTTGCATGTTTTCTAGAAAAAGGAGCAGTCAAAGGGCCTAAAGAGCGTGGTGTTGACCCCTAGCCACAAGAAGAAAGCCAAGGATAAGAAGGAGAAGGAGGAGAAGGAGGGCAGCACCGATGATGATAAGCCTCCCCAAGTCCAAGGTGAAGGAAGACAACAACACCCGTCGGCCCCGGCCCCGGCAGCGGCAGCGGCAGCGGCAGCGGCAGCGGATGAGGGGTGGGTGTACGTGGATGAAGACGTGGATTGGGTTGTGGAGATTCAGCCGCTGAAGAAGAAGAGGGACAACAAGGAAGAGGAGTGGGTGGCTATTGTCCCCATTTCTCGCGAGTGAGAAGCGAAAACTTGGTGGGAGATTCGGCTTGAGCTCTCTCCCAGTTCTGTCACTGTGCAAGGAGGCTAAGAAGCTAAGGTACCCGAGAAGGGAGAGTGGGCTGGCTGTCTTTGATGCCCTTGACTGGCTGTTTCTTTCTTACGTTGTTTCCTTTTTGCTGCATCTACCCGAGCTACCTACCACCAAAGTAGTTCCACAAACGCAGTACATGTACAGTAATGCATCCTGTCCCGGTGGAGGAGTGTCGGCGATATGGAATGGGGGAATGGTGTACCCGAGATGGCGATCAGCTAGGCCGAAGTAGCAGCAACTAGATCTATTAGGTACCCATTATACGATATATCTCGCTACACTATGTTTCGTCCTTGTGCCTTGGGCTATCTCGCGCGTAAAACGGATGGGAGTGCAGTAGCAAGGATGCCATTGTTTCCGACAGTCGGTTGGTGGAGACAGGGACCACAGCGAGCATGGCACGGTGGCCTTCAAGTTTCGATTTATCAGTCAGAAGAGCTGGTTGTTATAAGCTGAGAAAAAGAAACATGCGGCTGTATGTTTGTGGCAGCAAGTCTAAACGAAACCGAGCATTCGGTAGTTCATGGTCGAGGTTGACGACAAGGAATGGAACCTGAGGGTGGTGAAGTTGGAAAATACAGTGGGTCCTGCGATTTTCAGGGCCTACTTGGTATAGGCCTTTTGTGGGGCCCTGAAAAGACCCCTGTTTCCGTCCATCTGTCTCGGATCGTTCCCCTTGGCGCCGGCTATTCTCCGATATGGGAATCATTTGTGAAACTGATATGGCTCTGGTATGTGGAGCAGAAGATCATTGTCTCCTCGCTCCTGTCTCTTTTCTTCATATATCTCACTTTTGGGGCAGTTTTCGAGGGAGCAAAAATTACATGGACGTCAACTTCTCAGCCCTAGTAGGCCCTGGATGCGCTAAACTAAAATGGGCGCTAATGCAGGGCCAGCCTTCCGGCCAGTGGGGCCGTCTTTTTCGTCTGTTTTCTTCTCGACAACAACACTTCTTTGGGTCTGTGTCTCCCGTCTGTCAACTTCGCACCAATGTTACCATGAGGCTCGACTATCAAGCACGATGCGGCGCCCGACCATTTTGATTACAGTCGCAGCCCTGACGATCCATCAACTACCGGTGCGACCGGTGCGAGCTGCAACGCCATCCCGCTCCAGATCGCATCATCCGTGATCCTGGGAACCAATCAGCAGCCGAGTGTGCCTGACAGTTCAGCACGGACAACCTCTTCTCCGGCTTCTCCTCCACATCCCAAACAATGGCCAGACAGGGGAACTTCTCCGAGAAGATCAAAAAGGTCGAAATCAAGAACAATCGCATTGAAGATCAACATGGCCGAGACAACATCGGAACCACCGGCCTTTGGCTGGGACTACACCTGAGATCTACAGAGGCCCAGATCTCGGATCTCCTCCGTACCATCCATTCTCAGCCTTGTGATCCCTGTTTTCTTTCAAGCTTGGAGCCCCTTCTAGTGTTTCTGGTTTGGCGTACGTTACGGCTGTCTATACAACGCCTCCGGTCACCATGTCCCGGCCGGCTTTCTATCTGCGGCACGTTGCTGTCAACCCCAAGTTGACGTCAGGTACAAAGGCCTGATTCCCCCCTTTGGCCCTTCGCCTGGTAGTTTTCCAAATTCTTGACATAGCAACGGAAAATCTCCAGCAGGATCTGGTCTCTCTTGTTTCTTTTCTGTCCTTTTCCACTCTGCCAGCGTTTGTGTTTCTTTGAGCAACAAGTTTTTCAATCCTGCTGGTCAGAATTGCTTTCTACACCTTGTTTTAGTACTTTCCCTCGAACCAACAGACACAATGGTTCAGTTCACTACCATTCTCGGCACACTTGCTGGTAAGTTCTCCCAGCAAACACCGTCTCTTCGGTGAACTCCGTGCTGACAGATCACTCCACAGCTACTATTGCCTCCGTGCAAGCTCTTCCCGCCGGCCGGACTCTCCAAACTCGACAGACCGGAAACATCCCCGACCCGGCAGGCGCAAATAACGTTGGAAACGGCCAAGGCCTCCAGTTCATCGGTGGACAATGTCTCAGCGCGGCCGACTGCGCATCAACATGCTGTGCAACCCTGCCCCAAGGTAGTACCACCATCGGCGTCTGTTCCGGCCTGGGAGCTCAGTTCCAAGCTGGGAAGCAAGGATGTGGTTTCGGAACTACTGCTGCGGGCAACGGCACCGGCAATACTGGCAATAACCAAGCCGGGAATGGCACCACGACTCCAACCACCGGACAAGGTCGCGGCAACAGGAACAAGGGCGGTAATACTGGCAACACTGGCAACACTGGCAACACTGGCAACGCCGGAAACGCTGGAAACGCTGCTGGAAACGCCGGCAAGGGCAACACGGACAATGCCAATGCCGGCAACACTGGAAACGCTGCTGGAAACGCCGGCAAGGGCAACACGGACAATGCCAATGCCGGCAACACTGGCAACACCGGAAATGCTGGAAATGCTGCTGGTAATGCTGGCACCGGCAATACAGGCAATGCCAACGCCGGAAACTCTGGTAATAGGGGTAATGGCAACGGCAATGCAACTGGAAATACCGGGAACACTGGCAACACTGGCACCACCGGTAATACGGGCAACGCTGGAAACACCGGAAACGCGGGAAACGCCGCCGGTAATAGGGGCAGCGCTGGTGACGCCAGCAGTGGTGGAACTACAGGAAATACTGGCAACGCAGGAAACGCCAGCGATAAGGGGAATGCCAACGGAAGTACAGGCAACACGGGTACTACTGGTGGCGCAACAGACGCTTCCGCTGATCATACCCATTAAATGTTTCGTTCTGATGGGGCAGGCTATGACAACATTGGGAACAATACCGGGCGTTTATTACAACGATTTGGTGCTTGAACATTTACTGCGCAAATGAATCATCTGGGTTCCGAATTAAGCAAGCGGCTTTGTCTCTATCTTTGTTGTTTTTCCTGAGACACTCGTACAGATCCTAGATGCACGAATTCCGTATGAATCTCTATCCTTAACTTCCTATCATGCCATCCCAATCTCCTCCATTCATCGTGATCACCCATGTGCCATATCCAATCCACAAGACTACCAGTTCCCTAGGTAACCGCCTAGTTTAAAGAACCATAACCAACCCCAAAGCAACAGCCAACACCCTCTCCTGCAATCCTCCCATCTGCTTCACACCCGCCGCCTTCCTAGCATCACCCTTCCCTGTCTCCTTAGCCCCATTGCTATTTCTCCTGCGTCGCCCCCGCCCCCGAACTAGACTTGGTAGACGTGGCGGCATTGCCATAATCCACCTTGTTAGTGCTCGTGCTCGTCTGACTAACTACGTTGACATTACCACCAGTATTACCCAACCCGGTGGGAGCAACATAAGCAGTAGCCGTCTTCACTCCGCCTCCACCGCCGTTTTTAGACGACACTACGACGCCGTTGTTGTCGGCGGCGGGGCTGACGGTCACGGCGGCGACGTAGGTGTTGCCGTTGGAGAAGTAGGTTAGGACGTCTACTCTGGGGAGACCGTTGTTGTTGTTGTTGTTCCCGTTGGCATCGGGGGAGGAGGTATCAGAGTTCGAGTTGGTCGACCCATCGGATCCAGAGCCAGAGGTTGAACCCACGTCGGTGCCAGGGAGGACGAGGGCTGGGGGGCAAGGGTAGTTGGGGGATTTGTACTTTGCTGAGTGGGTTTGGATGAAGGTGTTAGTAGTCGAGTTAACTTGATTGATCGGAGCGAAGGCACAGATGGAGGGCAAAGAATAAATGGCCTAGAGGGATACAAGATGGGGGATAGAGGACGGAGAAGAAACGGATGGAAGCTTAGAGATGGATTATTGACAAGGTCTTGTTTTAAGATCTCTGGAGAGGTGTTCTTGAGAGAAGAGGAAGGTATACCTACGATCTATGCAATAAATCGCCGCCAGGCCCAAGGTGTTCTCGGCGTCCAGGGAATTGCAGGCCGCGAAGGCACAATCACGGATGCCGTTAAAGAAGTTGGCGTCGTTGCAGAGGCAGTTGAGGTTGGGTCGGCCGTTGGGATACGGGGGGCAGTCCATGTTGTAGGCCTGAGCGAACATGTTCCTGATGCATGTTTGCTATGGTTTTGTGTGACCTGTTAGCGATATCGACGGATGGGTGAGATGTTGTCGGTGATGGAAAAATGTGGTGGTGACGACGACGACGATGCCAACGTTGACGATGGTGGAAAGTGAAGGAAGACGCTTACACCGCAAGGAGCCAGATCGGCATATTCGAGGCCCATCGCGGAGGCCGCAAGGCCCCCGACAATAATGCTGATGATATTCATCGCTTCTTTGTTTTGATGGTATTAATGACGATAACAAGCTGATGTGAGAGAAGGCTGGCCGTTGTGTGCCCCAAAGAGGAGGACAAAAGAAAGAGGGCAAGCTGTGGGAAGCACCAAACACAAACGGAAATTCTGGTCTTTTTCTCTGCAGGCGGGGAACTCGGAGACCGAGCCGGAGAGTGGTCATAAACATTGCCCTCAGGAGGGGCAAATAAACGTTTGATTCCATGCAACAAGCATTTCTTTGAGAGACGCCTTGTCGTGCAGCTGGATAAGGGGAGTTGGTTGGATTCAAGTCCGTGATCTCCGGTATCGCCTCCGAAACGCCGCAGCGAGCATCATGAAATAACAACTTTCTTTCGGCAAGTCCAATACCTTTTCCAAATCTACGCCAGATCCAAGCCTTCGATGGATTCCAAACACCATGCCCCCTCGCTCAAAATCCAAAGCGCATAACCCCTTAAATCCAATAACCGCCCAGATGACTACCAACCAAAAGCACAAACATCCAAACCATCAATCCCCACGACACCCTCACCGTACCCGATGCGCTTCCATCCTCCGCAATCCTCATAACCAACTGATCTCCCAATTCCTCGATGCTCCTCTCAAACTCCTCGAAGCTGCCCGCCTCCCACTTCGCCCCCTTCGCCCCAGGAACCGCGTCCGCCCCTGTAAACGCCAAATACAGCACATCGTCCTCATCAATCCCATTACTCCCGCTCATCTCTTTCCCTCCACATTCCGTCGCCAGCGCCAGACTAGCTTCCCCAACCATCGACTTCGCCCCATCATCCCCATTCGTATCGCCCCACACTCCATAAACCAACTTCTTCCCGCCATTGCACACCACGGCCATCACGCTCAGCGGCTCGACTCCGTACTGCATCGGATCAAAGGTCTTGTGCCCGTCTAAGCTGCTATCATCGCTCTCGATTTCATTCCCGAATACCACGTACGGATGCACGTAGGTATTCAAATCTCTGACACCAGAGACATTGTACGAAGCGACGGTCTCTTGGAAGGCGGTAATGCCCTGGTAATCAGGGCTGGCGCCGATGGAGCAGCGCCCGTCGTCACCGGCGCCTCCTTGTAGTCCGTCGCAGTCAACGTCCATGTTGGCTAGATGCCCTTTGCCGCGGCCGCGGATGTAGAGGATCTTGAAGTCGGTGAGGTGGTCGCCGCAGTAGGTGTAGGTGTCAGGACCATCTTCGGTGCTGTAGAAGCCGCGATCGGATAAAGGGTGTTTGCATGATTTCTGCGTGAGGAGTTTGGTGTAGAGGTTTTGAAGGTTGGAGGGGACGTCGCGGGCGAAGGCCAAAGAGGCTAGGAAAGGGATGGCTAGAAGGAGGAAGGGTATTGATAGTAACATTGTTGCTCAGGTACTGAGTTTAGGAATACGTAGGTATGCAGATAGAGTAGTTGGATGATGAGCAAAGACGGCACTGTCGTCACGGCGCAGTCTGAACTCTGAGAATCCGGGGACAGTGGGTCAACTTATAGAGGATGAGCCGTCGAGATTCTCACGGATCTGGGGTCGGTTCAAGGGTTCACATGCAACGTCGATCGTGCACAGGGGTGACACTTGTCCCTTGGCTTGGCGATTGGAGCCGTTGAAAGTTCAGATGTGAACCTTAAAAGTTCAATTGATGACGACAGCAAAGAGGTGAAATGAGAAGAAGTGTGTTTGTAGGATTCTCGAAAAGTCGCACTGCGCCACACTTCTTGAGCGGAGCGGCCCACCATTTTCAATAATACCAGCCCTACATCAGGCTAGCTGAGCCGTAATGCAACTCGTTGCTGACGAGGAGTGTTGGGGGCAAGCTGAACGTTGGGTGCGGCCCGACGGCGATGAGGTTGGATTGGTGTTGTTTGTGTTCGAGACCGCATTAACAGCAGTACTTTTGACGCTAACAGCACAAACGAGGTTTTCGGGCAAATATAGCTAGTAATGTTGTAAATAACAATACCAGGCTAAAATTTCTTGGACCCCACTCCACAACTCACCGCGACGACAATCACAACAAAAGACAATCAAAGTCTGGGTTGATCAGCTAAGTTGTCTTTCATGACCTTCAAAGAGGATATAGTTATTGATATGCAACCATCGACTTCAATTCGCATCATGAATTTATTACTATTAGTCTCGGAAATAAATGCCTTCCAACATCCCACCAACATGCGACAGCTTCCCTTGAGATTTCTACATCGTGGGAACGCGTTAGGACAGCAATTTAATGTGCGACTAAATCTGTTCCAGACATATCCGGCATGGGGCTGTCTTCTGCCGCCGACAAAGCCATCCCATACCATGTTACAATCTCCGTAACAATAGCCGTCACAGTGACAGTCGGCAACCGCTCAACCTCCTCGTCACGCCTGTCCGGCGGTGTATCAAACAAAGATCCCAATGATGTAAAAGGGGTAATAGCAGCCTCACCCAAGTTCTCCGCCAGCGAGATCATTGTCGACGCCAGATCCGGAACATCCGGAATCTCCGAGAACGAAGTCTCCGTCACACTGGGGAAGCTCGTCTCAGTCGGAACCACCTGCCTCGGGGGTTCCTTCGTGATCCTCTTCGTGTGCGACTCAAACACTTCGGTGATTGTTGGGAGCGGAGGGGAGTGGTAGTTCCCAATAGTATGCAAGCTTGGCAATCCCGGGTCTGACAGGATAAGATCGTACTCGTCGAATTCATGAATAATTTCGCACAGTTCACCGCCACCAACATCAGCAGCGTGCAGTACGGCGTTGTGGGCGTTGTTGAGCCAGGTTAGGCCGTGCTGAAGCGGTTCGCTGATACCAGGGAAGATATCCGCAAGGTTGTTTCCGACCCGGCTGACGAGACGGGGGACGAAGTTGAAGAGAGCGTTTCCAGTCTGGTCAAGGCCTGTTCCCGTGGGAGAAGGCGTGTCGGGCTTGAACCAAGAGTGGAACCTCTCCTCGCAGCTTTTCTCGCTGCTGTTGGCGCCAGGATACTGGCAGGTCCAGGAGTGTATGTCCCATTCTGTGATGTTCTGGATATCGATGAACGTGCAGGGCGAGTCACCGAAGGCTACTTTAGGGTCGTGGAGAAAGGGGTCGATGGTAGCTGCTACTTGGACTGCGACTGTGAAGTTGGTCTCGGGAAGGTCTCTTCTTCTGACTCTTCCGTCTGCTGGTGGCTGTGCGTCTGGCAGTCCGGCGAGTTGGGCCAAGAAGTCGGAGATGGTAACAGAAGTTGTTGTGTTGCAACCAGCTCCATAGTGGTGCAGACCAGTCTCGTCAAAGACTACGGACTCCCCATTGGAGAGATGCGCTGCAAGACGTCCAGCCGCCAAGGCCTCTGGCGAGAGATCGAGGAGACAGCGGGAACCGTCCACAAGCGTCCCAACATAATATGGGGATGTAGCGTTGGTGTTCGTGTAGAAGTAGATCGAGTCTACGTCGGTGGCATTTGGCTCGAAGGCGATCAGTTTGAGCGATGCCGATGGAGTAGGCAAGACGCAGCAAGACGATGGTGAACTAGCAGGCTGTATCGTCACTCCTGTCAAGACGGCGTCCGGAAATACGATGCTCGTCGTGAGTGGACATGGCACTTCTTCGTAGACCTGTGTCCACGGCTTGGTAAGTAACATTGCTTAATCCGATGCGACTTGGGGGGTCTTACGGTGGTCGTTTCTAGAACACCACATGCCGTAAACAATGTCTCTGTTATCCAGCTCGTGGCCAGGCAGCATGTGCCATTGTCACTTTGGGCTCGGGTAAATTCGGTAAAGATGAAGGTGAGGAGTAAAAGGAACAGAAAGTTCAGAGCGAGCATCGTCTCTGCTCCATCCGGGATGGTGAACGCCGGAATCCGTACACAATATTGCGATTGTTTGCAGGGCAGTGGGCGCAAGAATGGAATCTTTCCGACTCAACCTTGTTGTTTTGGCAAATTTGTCTTCCTCCATCGCGACTACCGAGTCGGTGGTACAATACCCAGCACGTCCAATGCACTTGACCTCAAGGTGCGTAACATTTGCCGCGTACCCGACGGAAAAATCCATTTCAGTAATCTTGGTTCAGGAACGTCTTCACATCTCGACATGATCAACTTGATAGGCGGTAAACTCGTAAGAGAAAAGCACATCGACACCTGGGTGGAGTGAGCAGTCCGTTGAGGTAGTCGTGAAACTATGTTGGAATCCTGGGAATGATGCATTGCTGTGAAGTTGTCGAAGGATTGAAGCACCAATATAATGAACGGGCATGCGTTATGCAATCGAGCCACCTAAGACCGATAATGTCTTTCAACAAGAAACATTTGCTTTGTCCCTCTATATACGCAGAGCTGGAACCTCAAATAAAAAGAGATCGACACACGTCGAGCCGAGAAAGGGAGCCAGCCATTTCCACGAACTCTTTCTTTCTGCTGCATTTGCACTACCCAAAACCGTCGCAACTCACCAGAAGATCGTTCTGAACACCCGCGATGCGACTTAAAGCACTTCCCAGCCTGTTGACAGGCTTCATCCTACTCACCTCCACAATCGCGGCCACAAATCCCAAGTTCTCAGCCGAGCAGATGAGACAGTCGCTCTCCGGCGATGGCATCGACCTCGCCGCCGCCGGGGCGCCCGTATGGTTCTTCGGCGAACCCCAAGGACATTTTCCATGCTACCCGACTTTCCCCGTTAACGACGAAGGGCAACAAACACCCGCAGGAGAACTTTGCGATTTCCCCGACACCGATTGTAACTGCCGCGAGCCTTGGATTTCTGACGGAAAGTTTGACCCTTCTTTTCCGGTATACTTTTCCTTCAGGGAGTGTGATAGCGAAGAAGTTCAAGTGGCGTATAACCTCTTTTATGAGAAGGATGGGTTCTCCCCAGAGGGGATCTTTGGACATGCGTAGTGAGTTGATTATCCTCACATTTCTGTTGTGGAAGTTTGCTGACGGACTAAAAACAGCGACTGGGAATATGTCATTGTAATTTGGAAGAAGACAGCATATGGAGAGAATGGAGATTCATCGTGGAGCCCGACCCATCTGCTACTGTCAGCGCATGGCAAGCTGGCCTCTCACAACTGGATGGACTGTGATATGGATGAAGAAACCGGAAAGCCAAAGGTTTACACATCGTGGGCTAAGCATGCCCATTATGCTGAGCCGATGACAAACAAGACAACGCTGTTACGGGAGATGACTGAGGATGCATATCGTGGAGAGGATTGGTGGTATTATCCCAGGGAAGGTGAGAGAAAACAGGATACTAGAAGTAGTGGATGGGCGGTAATGCTAACCATCCACTTTACAGACGACCTTATCAAAGCTGATCGCAGCACGGATATGGGGAAGCTGATCGAGAGCTTCGACTGGGGGCAGGCGGTAGGAAACCCGGCGGTGGTGCATGATCGACTTTGCACGGATGCGACCGCGGAGCAATAAGCTCTGGATATGTTGGGTGAAGCTTTTCTCATTAATAACGGATGATGGAGAGATCGAGTCAAACTCGAGGAACTGAGCCGTGCCGTGAGCTCAGGTTTTTGGCAGTTACGCCTCCCAAATGAACTTGAAGTTGACGATGTGAAGTTGGGAGAGGAGCGTTCGGTTCCACCTCAATGCTTGGCATCTGCTCAGGGCAACGGCAGCTGTCTCACGGCTGGCAGGCAGTTGTGAGAAGACCCACAGTTTTGGCCGAAGTGGTTGTGCGTTCCCGAAAATCAAATTGCTTCAAAAATTTCCATTGCATCTGCGACTACGTTTTGATTCTTCCAAAACAAATGTGATGGCAGCAACGCCATGAGAAGCGAGCTTTCATTGCCGCCATGGATGAGCCACCGAATTTCCATGACGGAGTACTGAAATGATGTTTGTGGCAACGCAAATCCGCAAGTGCACTCGCACTTTATCACGCGGAAAAACGGTAGGTGATCATTTCCTTTCCTCTGCTTTCTCAAAGCAAATCGCAACAACCATTCTCCAACTGCTCTGGCCATCTGGCTGTTCTCATGGGGCTCCTTCGGGAGACCTTCTTCTCTGTGGCACGTCTTGTGTTGCAACTTTGAAGGGGTTGGAGATGGGGGCAATAGGGAGGGGGTCTTCGGGCCCTTTCTCTGTTGTTTGAAATGTTGCAAGAGCAATTTTTACCATATTGAACCATCATAGTCCGCGTCGTTGGCCCGTATCTTCTCTTCTTCGGAGGGGGAGAGATGGGATTTCACAACTTCGAGGCTCCAAGCTGTTCGACATTTCGATATCCTGCTTGTGTAATTTGTGCATGTCTTCTGATGCATAAGATCAACAAGAGTGACCATTGTGGTCTGTGCATATTTTGTGCATGCTGTGAGCGAGCAGCAGCGATAAGCTCACCGTCTCACCGTAAAACCCCACCCCACCTGCCGTCCGCGGTGATGGGCGTCAACTACGTCATAGCTCAGGATCAGGAGGTCGTTCCTGAACACACATCGTGAAGTGAAGTTGTTGTTCTTTTGGGCAGCGACGGTTGTTAGACCGAAATCTGGGGGGCGCATCTTGTGAACTACTTATTGTCTTTTTAAACGTTCAACGCCAAATCTTTGATTTCACGCATCCCACCGCGTGCTTTGGTTACACGTTTCCCAATCCATTCAAGCCATTCTCGTGGCTGCATCGCAGTGTCACAACGCCAAGTTTATAAGACTCGCAACATGTCTCACTCCAAGAACTCTCAAGATGAACAACACGAGGAGGGATCGAAATTCTCCCATCTCCCATTGAGCACAAGCGGCCCGTTAGAATGCGCTCTCAAAGGCACCGTGCTGCTCAACCACCCTTACTTCAACAAGGGGTCCGCCTTCACCAAAGAGGAACGACGCGAATTTGCACTTCATGGCTTGCTACCGCAGCACATCCAGACCCTGGAACAGCAGGTCCAGAGGGCGTATGAGCAATATTGCAGTCAGCCGAATGATTTGGCGAAGAATACATTCATGACTTCGATGAAGGAACAGAATGAGGTGCTGTTTTACAGAGTAAGATGCATCTTCGTTATTCTGTGACAAGTGATAGTATCGAACTTGTAGTTCTAACCTGTGTGTTTTTGCAGCTTTTGGACGATCATATTGAGGAGATGTTCAGTGTCGTGTACACGCCAACAGAAGGAGAAGCCATTCAGAACTATTCAAGACTGTTCCGAAAACCCGAAGGCGTGTTCCTGAACATCAATGATATGGACCACGTGAAGCGTGATTTGGCACAATGGGGAAAGGCTGAGGACATCGACTACATTGTGGTTACCGGTAAGAAGGAATTATCTGACGAAATAACTCCTTGCGTCCAGAAAGAGGATGGCTAACATGATGCAGACGGCGAGGAGATCCTGGGCATCGGTGACCAAGGATGTGGTGGCATCCTTATCTCCATCGCCAAGTTGGTGCTGATGACCATTTGCGGTGGCATCCATCCCAACCGTGTGCTCCCGGTTGTCTTGGACTGCGGCACCGACAACGAGAAGCTCTTGAAGGATGACCTTTACCTTGGCCTCCGGCAGAAGCGTACCCGGGGTGAGAAGTACGATGAGTTTGTCGAGACCTTCGTTAACGCTGCGCGTGAACTTTACCCCAAAGCATACATCCACTTCGAGGACTTTGGCCTAGATAATGGTATGTTGCACAGGCCTAACTTGCCCGCACGGTAACTGACATAACAACTAGCACGTCGCCTTTTGGAGAGATACCGACCTAAGATTCCCTGCTTCAACGATGATGTGCAGGGAACAGGGTGTGTAACTCTGGCCGCCATCATGGCAGGTATACACATTTCGAAGCAGAAGTTGAGCGACATCCGGCTGGTGGTCTTCGGTGCTGGCACGGCAGGTGTTGGTATCGCCGACCATGTTCGCGATGCTATTGCCGCAGATGCGGACATCAGTCCCAAAGAGGCTGGCAAGCAAATCTGGTACGTCCACGCACACCGCCCCTACGACGGGTATCTTCACGCAACAGAACACTGACACTACGCAGGCTCATCGACAAACCTGGGCTACTCACCACCGAGTCAGACTCGCTGTCAGAGGCTCAGAAGAAGTATGCCAAGTCGCACGACGACTGGGCCGACAAGAAAACCGATCTCCTAGGTGTGATCAAGGAGGTCAAGCCGCACGTCCTGATCGGCACATCCACAAAACCAAAGGCATTCACGGAAGATGTGGTTCGTGAGATGGCAAAGCACGTCGAGCGCCCCATCATTTTGCCCTTGTCAAATCCAACCAAGCTTCACGAGGCCGTACCCGAGGATCTCCTCAAGTGGACAGACGGCAAGGCCCTCGTTGCCACAGGTAGTCCCTTCGACCCCGTCAAGGGCCCCTGGGGCAAGGATGGTAAAGAGATCGAAATCGAAGTGGCAGAATGCAACAACAGCGTGGTGTTCCCGGGTATCGGTCTGGGCTCTGTGCTGTCGCGGGCCAACCGTGTGACGGACAAGATGTTGATGGCGGCATCGAAGGGTGTTGCTGAGATGGGCCCGGCTCTGAAGGATGATAAGGCTCCGCTGCTTCCCGGCGTTGATATCGTCCGCGATGTGAGCGTGCGCGTGGCTCGGAGAGTCATCTTGGCGGCCATGGAGGAGGGCGTAGTCGAGGAGAAGGATGTGCCGACGAAGGAGGAGGACCTTGATGAATGGATCAGGGAGCAGATGTGGGATCCGAAGTATAGGCCGCTGAAGTATGTTGAGGGTGAGAAGGCCAGTCGAGGGGCAAAGGGCGACTTGCGTGTGCTGGGCAACCCGAATGATGTCGATTGACGATAATATCGTGGTGTTGGTGGTACCTCTACGGCTGGGGGAGTGTCTTGGCGTGGCTATTGCCGGACGTCATGGCTGGTGGTTGACATTGATTGGTGCGCGACTTGGCGATTTGGACCTGGCTGGCGCACATTTTGTGCTGTATGATACCATTGTTTAGAGCTTGTCCAGTCATCTGCTGAATGCAATTGAATGCTGAATTTGTCCTCTTTTTCATCCTGGTCGTTGTAATTTATCGATGCGTCCTTGCGTGAACCGTTGAAGTGGCTTACCAGTCGGCGAATGCCAAAAGCGCAAAGGGAATTGTCAAGTTGAAACTGGTCTGGGCTGCACGAAAAAAGCAGAGCCCCACTATTTTGTGCCAAGACTGGGATTGTTCGTCTGGCTTGACGGGCTTGGCCACTGCACGTGACCGTCACAAAGGACAGTAGGGTTTGCGGTCCACACCAACCCAAGGCCCAAAAAAAATATCGCGGCTGTCGTTCAATTTTGGCCTTGCTGAATTTCCCCTCCGAAATTTCGACTCCCCCATCACCAGTCGCCATTTCAGCAACCAGACCGTCGCAATGGCCAAGCTTTCGTGAGTAACCACGCCAGCGATCGATTCCGACCTGTTTTGTGGCTGTTTTGCTGTCCGCCCAGCCGAGGTGCTGCCCGACAAATTGAGGTGGTCGCAAGAGGAGGAAATCGCAATCGACGAAATTGTGCGGAGGAGGATGCTCCCAGATTGAACCAGACGTCATTTGGACGGTTTTTGGAGGTTCTGGACACCACGGACGTCATATTGGGACCGGCAGCAAGCAGCCAGAAAACAGCGACGAAAATACGGAACCAACAGCGAGATCAGTGAGCTAACAGTGATACAGTCGTGGTGCCCCCGGTGGCAAGCTCAAGATGACCCTGGGTCTCCCAGTGTACGTTACGATTCCCATTCCCGTCCTATCTAGCACGAAACGCGAATCGCCAATTTCCAATCGAGCTCGAGCGCGATGAACATCTCCAATCGACACACCACAAATCCACGAAACACGAAGCACGCGAACAACGGCAGACACAGGAATGAATGGCTAACATGGCGACTTTACAGCGGTGCCATCATGAACTGCGCGGACAACTCCGGTGCCCGTAACCTTTACATCATCTCCGTCAAGGGTATCGGTGCTCGTCTCAACCGCCTCCCCGCTGGTGGTGTCGGCGACATGGTCATGGCCACCGTCAAGAAGGGCAAGCCTGAGCTCCGCAAGAAGGTCCACCCCGCCGTCATCGTCCGCCAGTCCAAGCCCTGGAAGCGCTTCGACGGTGTCTTCCTCTACTTCGAGGACAACGCCGGTGTCGTAAGTGTCCACCGATACCACATTTCTGCCACAGCCTGGGCATTGGGTTCTGCATTGGGAGGATCAGGGAGGAGCAATCGCTGGGGAGAATGATACGGAGATGCAGAACCACAATGCCAGGGTGTTGGAAGCACAGTTGAAACTCGGACAACGCTAACCATTGCCTTTTCCAGATCGTCAACCCCAAGGGTGAGATGAAGGGTTCCGCCATTACCGGCCCCGTCGGTAAGGAGGCTGCTGAGCTTTGGCCCCGTATTGCCTCCAACTCCGGTGTCGTCATGTAAAGTGGTTATCCGGTAGCAATGGAATGGATCTTTTATGGGCTTGCGCGGGTCTTTTTTTCGAGGAACGAACAATGTCATCCGGAAATCTCGTCTTCCCCATAGATGCAAGGAAGATGAAGAGGATGAAGGCCTTAACCGGCCCGGCTGGATTGGCAGGCATTTGCATTTCGGTTGCGGCGTGCTCGGGAGTCATACCACATGCATGATATACAGGTCAATTCACACCCAGTTCTTCGAACCCCTTGACCGCGCGCGGCTCGGGATCATCATCACAAGGGTGCCTCTGCAAGCCGACGTCTATGTTTTCCTTTTCATGCATAACAAGCAAGGGCGGGAATCCACGGTACCGGGCGCAGGGCAATGACCCGCGATGGACTGTGTTGGATGGCCATGTACGTTCTTCAACTCCAGATATCCCGAGAAGACGATGGGGGCTTCTCCCCAAGCAAATAACATGAAGGTCGCCATTCCCAAACCATTACCATTACTACTATGCTGTATCTATGTTGATGACTTGGTTATATACAATCTAAATGCTGCTGACCCTACTATCCATAGATGACTCCATGCTCTACCTAATGATGGTGGCATTCAGCTTGAGCGACCCCAGGCTGCGACCGCCGTCGCTAACCCAGCTCGACAGGATACGGTTGAACATCTCCGGGTCCTGAATCTGAGGAGCATGTCCAAGATACGGGAACGACACCAGCGTAGCGTCAGGAATCGCCGCCTGCGCCTTGCGTCCCAAGACAGCATAGTTACCGAGCTTCGCCTGCACCTCGGGCGGCGACCACACCTTGCCAATAGCTGTGTTATCCTTCTCGCCAATCACCAACAACGTCTTGGGCTTGATCTTCTTGTACTCGTGAATGGTCGGCTGTCCCAACACCATCTCAACCACACGCGCCTGGTCTGCCCAGAACTTCTCCTTCTGGTCGCCCTCGTACACCTTGGTCAGCATCACCACCCACTTGTCAAAGTCCTCTGTCCACTCGGCGCCGGGGTAGTACGTCGCCTGCTCGTACCCTCTCAGCGAGGCATACGTCGTCGTCTTCTCATCGTTCGCCAACAGATCGAACGAGCGGTCGGGCACGCCAAGCTGCTTCCAGTCCTCCAAACCGATCGGGCTGACCAGCACCAACGACTTGGTAAACTCCGGGTACGTCAGCGCGAAGCGCGAGGCCAGCATGCCGCCGAGCGAGTGGCCGATGACGATGGGCGGCTTGGTGACGCCCAGCGCCTTGAGCAGGTTGCGCGTGTTGGTCGCCAGGCCCTCCAGGTCAAAGGTGTACTGCGTCGGCTTGGTCGACTTGCAGAAGCCGAGCTGCTCGGGTAGGATGACCGGTACCCGGCCTTTTGCAAAGGGTGGCGGCCGCGTACCAGGTCGGGCCGCAGAAGTTCTTGCCGTGTAGGAGGAGGACGGTCTGGGGCTCTCTGGGACCGACGCTGAAGAAGGGGTTGTAACCGGGAGGGAGAAGGTCCATGAAGCCCATCTCCAACACCTCCTTGGAGCCCTTGACGGTGGAGGTCAGGTTGTAGAACCATAGCGTCGAGGGGTAGGTGTAGTTGAAGCCGTTGACGTTCTGGGGGCGCTTCGTTGACGTTCTGGGGGGCACTTGGCTGGGTAAATGTTTTTGTGCTGAGGGCGAGGGTGGCGGCCACCGAAGCATCCGCGTCGACGGAGGAGGTATCCTCGACGATGGCCGTGGACGCGGGGGCGGCTGAGATGAGCGGCAGAGCAGCGCCGGCGACAAGGAGGGTAAGCAGTTTCATGGTGGTTGCGGGTAGCGGCGTCCTCTGGTTCTGGGTCTGCTGCGTGATGGTGGGGGAAGCGAAGCGGCTATGATGTGATATCAAGCCAGCTGAAGATCACGTATGGCTTGGCTTAGTGTGGTGTAGGACAGACAGATGGGGGGATCATCACTCTACATTGCTGTCACTTCTATGGAGGAAGGATCCGGGTTGTATATAAGGTCGTAGTCGGATATTCGGCTCCGGTCTTTTTCTTCACCTTCCACCTCCAAGGAACAGCGGTATGCCCGACCGACCGAGCATAGAAGCAAACTACATGCGTGTTGGGTGAAGATCGCGAGATTTGTGCTACAAGACGTTACATTGTAATTAGAGAGAAGTCTTGTGTGGAGGGATGGCGGGTTCCACCAACCGACCGACCGACTGACGGCTCGGACGGGAAAGCTAGAATGTTCATGATGGCAAGCCGCGTCAGTTAGCGGACAATTACACATGTTAGGGCTAGGCAATCCCCCCATGATACCTATTTACGTACACCCGCGCACAAAATAGTGGTGATGGGTAGGTATACGTGTATTGACGAAGAATAAATGGGAATTGCCAATTCCTCGGCTATGGAAGTGTGGGTGGGGGTTGAGATACCATCATCCATCCATAACCCACGGTAAATGCAATCGAGATGGCCAGGGGCAAGGCAGAAGCGGCTTCGAAATAACAACGGCGACTAAGGACTATGGGTAGGTGACATTCCATCGACTCCCGGGGGCATGAATGGTGAAACTGCAATTAATCCGCACCATTCAAACAGCCCATTCTGACCACGCTTGCGGCAATTGTCTGCTTGGAAGAAGAAACGCAATTTTAGAAGGGGGAGTTTGTACTCTTTTCACCTTCCCAACATGTCGATATCCCGTTCTCGTTTCTGCAGTTGGGGTGCGCTGGGTGGCTCCGGGGTGGGTATCGCCGAGTGGCCCCCCGTTGTTTCGGAGCCATCACGATAATGACGGGGGATTTGGCGGCGGCGTGGCGCAGGTACAAATTATCAAAATTATGTACCTGCATTTCAGCCAATCTTTCAACAATTTCCATGTGATGATGCGATTGTGAAGGCATCGACACGAAGACCACACAACGCCCACATTATCACACAAGCTTTTTTTTCCCGCGCCGACAAGCCACCCAAAAATGTTCCGTTCCACCCCGGTCTTCCATTGTCGGGTTTAGTCTCCGGATCGGCCATCGCACCCAATCTAGACAGTGCGGCGACACAAGAGGCAGGGCCTTTGCTGCACCAGAGTAGCATCAAATCTCGTCTGGGAAGCACTGTGGGATAGCCGATGCCCTTGCCTTCTAAGCGACCTTGGCTCTCACGACACAAGAGCTTTGTTGCGTTTGTTGCGGGAGGAACAACTCCGACGGCCAGTCACAGTCCGTCAGCCTCTCCCCCCCCCCACGCCCTTATACTATTCCCTTCATGGGCTGGACAATGTCTCGCAACTTCAAAGACATGCGCATCATTCAGCTTGAGTTTGCACTACCCACACCGCATCAAACCTCCCCACATCAGAGTGCCTTGTTACCTTTCGCATGATACCACACTACCAGCCATTAGACTTTCTTAACAATGTAGGCGATATAGGAAATAGGTAAAAAGTCTGCTTCAGACTATGGTACGGTTGCTTTTCTTTTTTCCCATGGTGAAAAGGTGGATCATTCAGGAATCAGAATAGGTATTTACCAGCCATGGACCACCCACCCACACACACCTGGGCTGTTCCTTGACTTCTTGAAAGTGTTGTCTTGATCGCTTCCCGCCAGGAAGGGAATATCATGGGTATTCTCCAGTTTGTACGCCGATCTCCCTAAGATCTCACTACTCCGCCCTATTCTCCACGAGTCAAGCACGGCGGGCCGCGCTGCCAAAAGATGATCAGGGTCCCGGGGAACCAGCCCGGCGACAATAGGGCACATTCCATCGAAACTCCGGCGATCGTTCTCTTCATCACCACTTTTTTCTTGGTCGGTGTGAGGATATGGGCTCGGTTCAAGCAAGCGTCATGGAAGGGCCTGGGATGGGATGACTACACGATTTTGCTATCATGGGTACGTTGTTCTTGATTCTGGAAGGGGAAGAAGGTATACATACGGGCTAGTTTGGTCTAACAACATGAACAGGTCTTCGCACAAGTGGTGTCAGCACTCATGATGGCTTCATGCGCCTATGGGTTCGGTCAACACATCCGCAACCTCTCGAAGGAGAATAAACTCATGACTTTGAAGGTATGAAGACGCAATATCCTAATGTGTCGTACACAATACAATCATCTCACTAACACGATCCTGCAACCACACAGCTCTTCTACGTAGCTCAAGCCTTCTACAAAATCACCATCAACCTCACAAAAACCTCCATCCTCCTCCTCTACCTGCGCATCTTCGTCCAACGATGGTTCCGGATAGCATGTTACATCCTCATGGGCATCATCAGCGCCTACATGATTGCCACCTTCGGCGCCTCGGTCTGGCAATGCACACCCGTCCCTCGAGCCTGGGACAAGTCCATCCCTGGAACCTGCGTCGACATCACGATCAACTGGTACGCCAATGCGGGATTCAGCATCAGCACCGACATTTTGATATTGGCGCTGCCCATGTACCCGATTTTCATGTCGCACCTGCGCAAGACGCAGAAGGTGGCGGTGGTGCTCATGTTTGCTCTCGGTTTCTTCACGACGATTACTAGTATCTTGAGGATGCAGACTTTGACCTTTTCGACAAAGACGCCTGATACTACTTGTACGTTTTTTTTTTTTCGTTCCGCCCCTCTCCTCAACCGCTTGACCCCCTTCCTTACTAGGTTGTTGGCAAACTAACACCTTCACGCAAAACAAAGACGACCTCGACTCCTCAATCTGGACCATCATCGAGCAAAACATGGCCATCATCTGCGCCTGCCTACCCGTCTGCCGCTTACCACTCGCCTACCTCTTCCCCAAACACTTCGCCATCTCCCACCACAAACAACGCACCGGTCCCGAGGGGGACATTGGCCACCGGGAAATCTCTTCCCAGTCCGAGCTACGAAGCTGGCAAGGTCCGCATCAGCACGACGTCGCTATCGAAGCCGGGCACGGTACTGGTCCCGGACAGGATGGGAATTACGAAATGGACAGGAAATACAACCCCACTTCATCGGGGCGTCGCCCATCCGCGTCGGGATCTGTTTATTCTGATTTGGGGGAGAGGAAAACGTCGACGGATGTGGGCGTAGCTGTGTATCAGCGGGACGGGGTATCAAGTGAAGACGATAAGGTTATGGTGGGAGATGCAAATAGCGAGGATACCATTTTTCACGTGTCATCTGTGTCAGCGACAAGGCCGAGATCGAGGTCAAATTCGAGGATGGGCATGGGGATGGGGATCGAAATGAGGGACAGGGATCGATCAGGAGACAGGATGCACCATGCGGGAGTGGAAGACAGACCAGGCGGCGGCGGCGGGATTCAGATGACCACGCAGTTTAGTATTACTTATGATGAGCGATAGAGGTACGGTACGGTAGAGACATAGAAAGAGGGAGAGACAAAGGCAAAGGCAATGATGGGCCGGCGACCGGGATGGTTGGACCGGAAGACTTAATGGGATCACGTTTCAACGTTCTCACATGTGTCTGTGTCTGAGTCACGGTGCTTGCATTTACCGTATCTTGGTGCTTGAAAGGTCATGAGCAATCAAGGAATGGCTGAGCAAGATTAATCTGGTTCTTTCCTTGCAGGCATGCAACCGAGAAAGTACGAGTGGCAGGAGGGGGTCATGTGTGCCTACAAGCATTCTCTGTCCTCGGCTCCACCTCCGGGCTCCGGCGCCGTTCGGGTGGGCTTGGGGCCGGGACGTCCCGCTCGTAGATTCGTCCCGCAACTTGATCCCCCAGCTTTCATCGTGTCTTTGTGGAGAATGGAGTCACTAATATCCTGAAGGATTCAATTTTTGTACCTGAGTCATTGTTCTATTACCTATCAATGTTGATGGTATTCTACGGGCTCTTTGGGAGGGAATGATGCATCCTTTGAGGATACTACATCGGATACTTCCACTGAGATAAGGGCAAAATAAACGAAAAACTCCAGGACGTTGTCCATGCATCCATGCATCCAACTGAGATCGTGGTTGAAACCTCGTTGGTCTTGTGAAATGAAGAGAAAGGTCCCAAAAGGACTGCCACTCCTCCAGCTTGGTAAATACCCGAATTCCGACCAAGATGTTGGGAGACGAATAGTGTAGTGGAGACACAACTCCTTGTGCTTCGTGTTCCTCCGCGTGTGTCTCTGTTGCCGTTTCCTTCCTTCCTTCCTTCCTTCCTTCCTTCCTTCCTTGCTTTCTTCGCTTTTTGGTGCCCTGAAACTCTCACAACCTGGATAAGGTGATCGTGTATCGTACCCACAGAATAATATCCTTGACCCTTTGTTTGCACGATGACAAACAGTCTACCTCATCAAGCCATCTTATTGCCCCTGGAGGTCTTCAAAAAGCCCAAGATAACTTGTCCAACCGGGCTTGACCACTGTCCAGATATGCTCCGAGCACATCTCATCCTCATACTCGAACAGCCGCAGATCACGCCGTCTGCGCAGTATGTTCGCCTGGTGCGGATCCATATCCACAGGTATCTCGGGGTCGGGCAGATGAGTGCGCGGCACGCCGCAGATCGGTTCCAAACACGTGTAAGTGAACACGATGCCGAGCTTCCCCATTCTCCTCTTGATAACTTCCAAGTAAGTCCACGGATCGATGGCCAAGGTCGAGGAACAGAATCCCCATACATTGAACTTGGCCGGTGAATCTTTGACGGGGACGGAACGTGCAAAAGGCCTGACGGCGTAGTTGACGTGGATCTCGCGGAGCTTGGCCTTGGTGTCATGCGCGCGTCGGGCGAGGGTGAGGAGGAATGCCCAGAGGTCCCTGTCGAGGGGACACAGTAGGGTGCACTTTGGCTTATGCGCTGGGTCCGCGGAGAAGCAAGGGCCGTGGCGAAGGGCGCACTCGGTGCCGACGTCCAAGGTGAGGCGAGTTAGGCTCGGAGCGCCGAGAAGCCGGTCTAGTTCCTCGTGGAGCTCCTTCAGTATCTCGGGGTTCTTACCGGCTCTCTTCCGTTTGTGGAAGAAATTCGCGTGGCCGGCAAAGATAGCCGAAAGATGGAGGTGTTTCAGGCTCTCGTATTCCAGGAAATTGGGTGTGGTGTTGTGGTGCAGACCGAAGCCGGTTCTGCCAGGAAAGACTTGCTCAAACCCAGGCCTGTGCATCTGTAGATAGGTATACGGTGTCACTGAGAACCCGATTCGCAAGCTCTGCAATGTGGTCTGATGAGGCTTGAGCATGGTGTGTAACCTGTTCATGATCACACAGGTCATCGAAACCTCGTCGCTGTATTGGACGTTGTTCACGTCCAGAGACTCCCAACCAAACCGCATCATGAGAGCAAAATGCTCAAGTTCGCGTGGCCATTTGATGAGAGACTCGAGGGTTTGGTAAGACCGGCCGAAGTCGTTGAGGATGAGTGTCTTGAATCCTGCCTTGTGCTTCGGACTCTGTGGCTGCTGTTAGTAGGGAGTAGTGACATGGAATGGAAGCCACAATGGTTCGGACTAGATCAGGGGGCGTGGACTTGCCTGCAGAAATTCATCCATAAATGGGCCCGCAGACACGGCACCATGTGGAAGTACCTCAGATGGGGAACGCATGTGAGAGAGACACAAAACATCTAGGTCTGAGAGCATGGCAATTGATCTAACCAGATCAAGCCAGACTGGTTGGGAGAGCCTCTCGCGGACAAAAGATAGTCTTAGCCTTTTGACTCCTAGGTGAAGGGCCACAGCAGCTTTGAAGAAATCCACCTGCCATTGTACCGAAGCATTGGTGTCCCAATCGAGTCTGGACAGGTGAGATTCGTGCAGGCCCGACGGCGAGGCCAACGTATAATCGATCGAAACGGACGTTGGTGGCCTCGGCTAGTGTGTGCTTGGAGTAAATCTTTGGCATCACTACCAAATGAGTCGGACTGTAGTATGTATCAATGTTACTGTTGTTGTTAGTCCTTTTAATAGTATGCGACTTACGATACAGGGAATCTCGGGTCGATGTTCAGTGCCCTGCAACTCAGTGCTGTCTTGGGCCGAGGTGGAAACGTGAGTCTTGCTCGCGCCAGTTCAACGCCCTCGTATGTATTGACAATTTCAAATCGGTACGATTGTAAAACAGAACTGTAGTCCTGCTCTTCTGGCCACTCCCTGGGCACCGTACTGTAATGCCTGGGGAATGATGGGTAGCATTCCAGTTTGGGGAGAGTAGGGTCAATCAAGTTTAGACAATCGTAAGCCAATGGTGCTCCAATACGATGAATCTTTTTGCAAGTTAGCAACACTGAAAGGTATTCAGCATTGTCCAGCCGCAAGTGGAAATCCGAGTAAGCGTCGAAGTCGATGGGCTCGGCATGTTTTTCCTTCACAGAAGGGTGAATCAAAATGCGACATTCCCAGAGAATCGCTGTTAGAAGCTCTTCCGGAAGATCAAGGAGTGTGCGTTTCGCCATGATGTTGCATGTTTGAAGCGTATCGGGATGATGGTCAGGGTCTTTGAGTGTCTCAGGAGGATGGAAAGCTGGTGGGTGTCAGAAGTTTGGAAAGAGAGAGAGAGAACGTCGAAACTTCAAGCACGGGGCCCCGTTTAGTCTTGTGCGGCTTGGGGCTGGGGGAACTCCGTCGTTTCTTCAAGCTGGTCTTTACACTGCTCGTAGTTATGCTCGCTCGGTGCTACAGCCACCAGAAGCACGACGCTCTGCCACACAATGGTCTGCATCAGCACAACAAGGTCAGGTGTGGTAATGCAGCAAGGTAATGTATGCCAAAACTTGGTACTTACGCCCTCTATGCAAAGAGATGAGAAGAGCATGCAGATGCTGGGTAAAGCAAAGCAAACACTCTGTCTATCGTTACCTCTAGATCCTCAAGTCCAAGTCCACCTCAACGGCGTGGCTTACTCAGGACAATAAGTTCCTTAAATGCCAATATTCCGGTGGTATAATCTTTCCAATAGAGCTCTGGAAGCCGACCGAGTGGCACTTCATCGGACAGAAAACTTGTAAATTGTAATATTGTGACAATGCATGAATGAAGGTTACCGCAAGAAACTCAGTAGAAAACTGTTTTTAATAACATTTCTAAACTCAACTAAATTTAATCGACGACAACATAACATCTGCCCTTACTCAGGTCCCTGGAAGTCAGCGGCAATCAGTTTTTTCGTGTAGTCTTGGAACATGACCGAGTAGCTTTTCTTGGAGCGCCAAAACGTTCCGAGTGGGCTTCCACCCATGACGCTGCCTGGTCCAGCGACCACATTTTGTCGCCAATTCCATCCCTCCATAAAAGATGCAACCACCAGTGAGTTGTTGGAACCCACCCACAGAACCTCCATCCGCTTGTCATTCAACATTATGGCTGTCAAGCCACTGTCCACACGCGCGGAGTACTTGGCCATGTTCCATCGCGTCCAAGAACCCTGGAATTCATACCAGTACGCAGCTTCGATTACGCCTTTAGGGGTAATGAAGAAGACCTCGACAGTATCATTCCTCCTACTGACTGCTGCAATACGGCTGCGCATGGCAGCCGAGTAAGGTGCAAATGTTTTAGCTGCAAAGGTGTCTCTCCAGCTTTGGCCGTCGTTCACCCATTGCTTTCCAGAAAGTTTCCCGTCCTTGCTGATCCATAACACGAACATCCTTTCTGACCTGGCCGTCACCGCTGTAATGAAACTTGACGGGTCTGCGCTTCCCTGTGGTGCCAGCTCGTACTTATTCCAACCGGCTGAGTCTCCCTCGTAGAAGTACATGCCTTCAATGGCTCCCTCAGGCGTGACATACCATATTTCTTGGTGGCCTTGTATGCGGGACACCACAGCAATACCGCCCTTTATAGAAGCTTTGACAGAGTCACGAAATGTGCCATCTATCTCCAACCCAGTTAAGGAACCAGACATACTCCACCCAGTCTTCGTGTTAGGTTTGGTGTAACAGCAGATAGAGCCGTCACAGCGGATACAAAAGGTATCAGTGCGCTCTTCGTTACGCTTGACAGCGGCAATGGCTCCTGGAATAACTGCGCCCTTCGTAATTTCAACGTAAGTGCTTGGTGAGCCGAAGGAAGTGCCTTCTGGTACTTCCGATGAACCAAGGTCAAGCGAGCCTGTATTACTCCGGGTGAAAACCTTGCTGAGGACCTGCCACTGGGGCGAAACCCAGAAAGTTTCTGGCATCTCGTAGTTGCAGACAACCGAGGCAATGACACTGTTGGCGGCGGTTGAGGCTTTGTCATGGTTACCGCTGGTCGTTTGGCAGTTCATTTTCCATCCGAAGCCTGTGACCTCAACATGGCCGTCGAAGACAGGGCCACTGATGCGAGTGGGTGGGTTGGAGTGGTCGATGGTGCGGACAACCCAAAAGTCATCGGTTGCCTCAAAGTCCGTGATCCAGTGATATTGCATCCAAAAGTAAGGGTAATTGGCCTGTCCCCATGAGTTCTTGCACAGGACACGCTCATTATCATTGTCCCAGGCAACAGCTACAACGGCATGACCACCCCAGCTTGAATCTGGCTGCGATTGATGAGGCTTGTCAAGGGCTTTGAGAGTCGCATATCCTTTGTTTTCTTGGCTCATCAGGGTCGGCAGAGCCAGAGTTGTCGGTGGTGAAGGTCTTCCAATAGTAGTTGAAGCCGAAAACGACAGGATAACCCTCATGAATCGACTGCTTGAAACGAGTGAGCGTCATTATGCCCACTGCTGCCTTTTCCTTGTCATTGAACATGTCCTCAGTCGCATCGTTGTGATCTGGGTCCAAGCGACAGTATTCGACGGCATGCGTGTGTTTGGCGTTCACGTAGGCGGCATCGACAGGCAGATCGTTGCAGCCGAGCACATTGTTATCTTCAAACAGCCAAGGGTCGGAGTCTCAGACGCTATACCCAGAAGGCTAATAGCTTTCATGGCCTGGCGAATTTTGGTCGCGTCGTCCTTGACGCTGGAAGGTCATTGCTTCATGTCCTTGTTGTCGGCCATGGCTTCAAGAGCACGAGTGTTGTAGCAGATGAAGTGACGGGATGGGTCAAGCGATAGCTTGCCAGGGCTCTTGTTGGCAACATACCAGAGAGCGGCGGCCGTGGTATTGCCGACACATGAATCAGTGTCCATTTGATCATAGACAGGGGCGTTGGAATAGTGCCTGGTTAGGTCGACGGACTTTGTTTTCTTGGGGTCCCATCCCGATCCGAGGTAGTAGTATGGCTTATCGTTGGGGTCAGACCCGTCTGGGAGATATCCTCGGTTTGGGGCGATGAAAGGCATGTCGAATAGTGTCTGGTAGTAAGGGGAAGGTAGAAGAGCAAGTTATGTGTAGGTCGAAGTGACTGTGTAGCGATGATTGCGATAGTGATCTGGTGCAACTGAATCAGTCTAAAGCGTTGAAAGTGCGAACAACACTTCTTATTGACCACGAGGTTGCATACCATCACATCTTCCAAAACCTTGGACTTCCACCCAACAAAAGTTGCATTGTAAAAGATACGATGCTTCACAATCGATGGTGGCGTCTGGGTGTTCTGATGATAATGAGTGCGGTACGTTCCGTCCAGACCAATCCAGTAACACCTAGGGCAGTATCAACACGCTTCACATGGCTGGAAGTTTTCTTGTCAGAGAATATCTCCCAAAGTAGGCTTTCAGCTGTGCAAAACCCTCAACTATTGAAATGCGTGGCGGTTGTGCCCATGAAGGAATTGGATTGCGCACTCAGAGGTGGGCAGGCGCAAAGCTGAATAGCATCCCCAGGATGTTGAGGGTTGTTACGGTCTCCATGACGGTACCTGGATAGGTACTGCTTTCTGCTTAGTGCACGGTATATCCGAGTGTGGTTGTGGTTTTGCTGGGCTTATGGTCAAGCCGTGTCCGTAATTGGTGGATGTGCTGAGCAGCAAGTGATCTAGATTCGGTGCAAGGAAGAATGTGGCTGGCGGGATGTTGTGCAGCTGGCTGATCCTGGGCAAAACCGTTGACATTTGCTGTGCGGCTGATGTTGTATGAGGCCTCATTCAGCTGGTTGGTGTGGCGATGGTGGTGGTAATGGATGTATCCAGTAGATGGACACTGAAACCATCTCCACGCCTCTCTGGTGTCCTGTTAGATCGCATCGAGGTCTGGTCCCTTTGGCTTTGGAGAAGGGGGCGTGTTGACGCTCTTGTCAGTGTTGGATCCTCCTCATTAATATCATGCATGAAGTGCAGGAACGACGCATATCAAGTGAGCCCGCAGACCCGGTAGCAACTTTCGAAGAACAGGCAGGCATAGCTATACTGCTGCGTACTAGGTATCTCACAGCATCGGCACCGAAACCTCACCAGTACCGGCAACCACCCGGATTATTCCAGCGGGGTGGCAGCAGGGTCTTACCTGGCACATAATCAATGTCGCAGTTCATCATGCCAACAATCCTCGTGCACGTCTGCCTTCTGCGTGGCCAACCAATATGGTGTGCGAGGGCGACGATAAATGAGCCCAGATCCACGGCATTGGTGATACGGTTTTTATAGGGCGCAACTTGGTGAGGGGGTTCGACCCCAACCATGGGCGGCTGAGCTTTTTGACTTTGGTGTTTTCGAACTTCAAAGACTAAAGAAGGAAACAAAGTTCGGACGCCCTAATGGGGAGAAGGTCTCCGGTCTTCGGATATCTACCTAGGTAGTTACAAATGTAAGAAGGGAAGGAATGACCAGAACATATGCAGTAATCCCTCGTAGATAGGAACGCTGGGTGTCTAAATGAGGACCGTCTGCAAACATGGCAGGAACGTCTTGTCTGGCTGTATTTCCAAGAATCAAGCTGAATGGCAGCAAACCTCAACTTCTCGAGGTTTTCATCATCTCCTCGCTCATCTTGTTTCCCAACTTTAAGCTTTGATTATGGCCAAAAACGCCCAGCATCTGGCAGATATTTCTGCCAAACAAACATCTGCAAGAAAACTGCTTCCGACACCTCAACTGATATCCGAAACCTTGGGTATCTTCACCCTCCATCCCTCTCGTTACCTCCACTGGCCCCCAGAACCCACGGCCTGTTCCCATACCGGTCTCTCACCCTTTCAATGTCCTCCGTTGTCACTTTCAGGTATTTTGCATGCCTCTTCAACGCGTCTCTGGCTGCTTCTCTATCCATCACTTCTTCGATCGGAGGGTTGTCTTCGAATAGCACATCTCGCCTATCGGCCAGCGCCCCCATACACTTCAGGTCGTGACTATGGAGTCGAGCTTCCAGCTTCGCGAAATTTATGGTGGGGCCCATGGTATTCAAGAGGAAGCCCTCCAAGCCCACAGTTTTGAGATTCAGCCAGCTTAATGGGTATTCCCCGATCGGTCTGGCGCTTTCTCTTTCATAGCTGGACGGGTGAGGCGTTTAGCGGTAAGAGAGAATCTGACCTTGGGGTCGGAAGATCGAACAAAGCAGTAGCGAAATCCGAATCTCACCGTATTAACCTCCTCACTCGGCGAGTCAGGCCAATCGGGCTCATCGCTCATTTCGACTCTTTTGTCTCGTTTGCTCAAGAATCAGGGTCCAGTTTTCATCGTCGATGTCGCAGAGCCGAGAATAGTAATGCGGATGTGGCCCATTTTCGCTTTGGTGATCTCGGCGTGGACTCGAAAAACGGATGTAGCACGGGCGATAGAGTATGCTTCGGCGGGAAGAGGGCTGATTTGAACTTGAGGGCGTTCATGGTCTTGGCAAAAGGTTGAGGAGGCTCGAGACATACATATGCACAGTCGGAGATCGTCCCCCCACGGCGGGCCGAGCTTATCATCGTCGGGGGTCATAGCGGTTTGCTCGATAAAATCAAGTACACCGTCGACAACATTGATAAGGTCAGACAAGCATCTCCGAGAAAGTAGGACTGAAAGGTATTTGATCCAATGCCAATGGTACCGTCATGAGAAATTTTGCGGTTGTGGAGAAGGAACTGCAGCACGCGGGACCGTGGAGCTACTGAGAGACTGCTGGGCTGGGGAAGCCAGAATCTTTCGTGCAGACCAGAGCTATACGCCCCGGTGAGCAAAATCTTTCCGATTGGACAGAGTTCATGTTCCACCAGATGCTCATATAGCTGACCAGTTTTTCGACAGATCTCTGCTGACGCAGCTTGCTCGGGCAGTGTCATGATGTAGACATCACAAAACCGAACACCCTTCGGGGAGCATATAGCTTCCGCAAGTGCCTGGGGCTCCTCCTCTTGCCAGTCAGGACAAAGAGTTAGGATCCGGGCGCTTGCAAGCGGGATACCGCCGGCTCGGGGGTCATCTTCGAGTACCGACCGCAGCACATCTGCCGTAAGACCAGCAAAGCACGCCCAGTCCAAAAAGATTTCGTCACGGTATGCCCATCTGAGAGGCTGAACGGCGTCCTTCCATGCCACTACCTTATCCCTTTGTTCCTTCATTTCACCCCGGATGAACGAACAAAATGATGTACGTTCGCCGATAAGCAAACGTGCTTCGTACCTGAACAGTTCTGTCCAAGTCACCTTAGCCCAGCTCGCTACCATATTGGTACAATCCGTCGTCCACTCTTGACGTCTTCGTGGATGGGTGAGGTTACCCGGGGGCAATCTGACTGGTTGTTGCGAGGGATCAAGGCTCCAAGATACCCCTGGCCAAGTTTCTGTTCAAAAGTGTCAGCGCGCTGTGATGGTCTCGTCAAAGACTCTTTCACGATGTAGTAACTATGGTAATATCGCAACACGTAGCGTTACACCTACCCTTTAATGCCCCAACCTCTAAACGGGAAGCAGATGCTACTTCTCGCATTTTGTTATCATTCGAGGGCCCCACATGTATCCCGTGAAGAGACCACACAGGCAACGACCACCCGGTCATCAGGTGCTTAAGCTTTTTTGACCGCCGTAGTGCTGGATCCAGGTCACACTCCCAGGTCGCAAGACGGTGTTTGATGTCGACCGGATCTGTAACATTGATGAAAATAACCGACATGCCAGCTTCATCGCCATCTTTTTCCTTGGGATTTGGTATGATAGGCTTTGAGTGACAACCTACAGGGCAATTGCCCAGGGTCTCGTCCGCAGACAACGGAAACACACGCTCCCCGAAATGCTTCCATCCCGCAAAGTGCGAGTCGTCCATCAGCGACGCAGACCCAACACATAGACATGTGTGTATAAAGGGGAAGCATGGCTGCTCTTCATGTTCTGACGGCGGGCTCCGCGGCGGAAGAGGGTAACCGCGGCGGGCATAAAAGTGAGCCCCAAGCTGTAATTCAAGAGACAAGGGGATAAGGTTGGATGGGTCTGAGAAAATCCTTCGCAGAAGCAAGACGATGGACTCTTTGGTTGTGCTTTCGTATGGGTGTGGACAACAGATACCACCCAGACTTCGGTAGTGGCCATCCAGGCAGGCAATGGCGTAGACGTGGTAAGGAGGGAGGTCGTGATCTCCAGGATGGAATTCGGACGCGGGAGAAATGGCTATAGCCTGCTCAGGCACGGGAGGGTCGGCCATGGTTCAGCACGAATTCAAAAACAGGGACTTTCAATCATACAAGGCGGCCGTTTTCTCCCAAGTGATTGATTGATTGCTTCCACTAATGGCTTGCAGTGAGCACACGCAAGCACGACAAACCCAGATTTCTCCCAAACGTAGGTCAGGTATTCGCTTTACCAACCAACGCGTCCAGCCACCCACCCCCATGATATACTTTCCAAGTAGTCGGTTATAATTCGATAAGATTCCAGAACCCCGGCGACGGCTCACGCCGCCGCACCGCACATTTCCCAACTCCCAAGACAGCTTAAGGTAGATGACTATCGCACCTCCCTTACTGCGTAACGATGCTCTTCCCAGCCAAGACCTTGTCCGCCGCCTCGTCCGCGAGGGCAAGAATCTTACCAACCTCATTTCTAGCCATCCACTCCGCTTGCTCCTCTTCGTTCACACTGTTTGTTTTTTTGCCAAATATTAGCTACCATCACTTCCTCAACAAGTCAATCGTCAGAGGTTGTAAAACTCACATAACAATTTGCGAGAAAAAGATAAACACCCTTGAGTACGCAATCAATAAGTTCACGTACTCCTCAACCACTTGTCCATCAACGTCCCTCTTCTTGCTGCCCTTCTCCGCATTTGCCTCCACGCCGCCATTTTGTTGCTCCCCGGTGGGCGTCCCCGTCTCGCCGGCGGGATCCAACTCAAGCACATCACCATCCCCCCGCACAAGCTCAACCTGGCCCTTCATAATCTCCACGCCCTGTTCACACCTCGTCAAAGCATGATCCAGTGCCTTGGCGAGCACGTCGGCCACGCCAGAGCTGGAAGCGCTGGTGATGCAGTCCCCCAGGGTGTTGGCGTGCTGGTTGAATTGGAGGAGCTTGGCGGCGAGGTTATTGAGGGTTTTCAGGGAGGGGTTTGAAGGGTAGGGGTTTGAGGGGTCGGGCTTGGAGTCTGTGTTTGAAAAAGAGGCTGGGGGCGGCAGGAGGGTCTTTTCGATTAGTTGCGAGGTGGAGCGGGCTTTTTCGGCGATGGTGGAAGCGGTGGCTGCTAGGACGAGGGCTGCTGCCTTGTCGATGATGATGATGATGATGATGATGATGAGAATGGTGAAGATGATGATGATGATGGTGATGTTGAAGACATTTTACTGGTGGTGGTCCGATAAAGTGGTTTTATGAGAGCTTTTTTGAAGGTGGTTCTGTGTGATGTGTGAGGCGGTAGATGTACTGTTGGAACTCAGTGGGCGTGTTGTGTTGGAAGCTGTCTGTCGTGTTTTGCGAGGTGAAGGAAAGTTAGTGGCTGTTGAGAGTTGAGTGGGTTTGTAGAGGTCAGTTGACCGGGACGAAATGATGATGGTTTAAGGATTTCTTGTATCGTTGAAGTTGACGTGAAGTTGTTGCCTGGACCCGAGGCGCTGGATAAACATGCGTGTGTTGAGTGGATGTCGGTCCCAGGGAAAGTAAAATGCAGTTTGACCTGGGTGGATCGCCAGATTGTAAGCATACGGTAGTGCTCAAAAGACTTCAATGTACAAAGTGTGATTGATTGGTCAAAGAAGGCTACCTAGTCTGGGGAGCGGGGAACCCGGGTTTGTACTTCGCCAGGTTGCTTGAGGTACAGTACTTTCCAGGTCCTGCACGGTGCCTGCACAGGCTCCTGTAGGCTCACGTTCGTACTTGTGTACTAGGTGAGCAGTGTGCAAAAACGGGCTGCAATGGACCCCTTTTACAAGCCTTTTGTGCTCAGCCCACTCGCCTTAACAGTATGTGCAGCGTGGGGCACAAGCGCTGAGGACAAAAGCGCGGGGTTCCCTGTTAACGTCGGCAGTCACTTCGCGTGGGGGTTAGGTGGGTTCGGGTTCGGGTTCGGGTTCGGGGGTGATGAATTGCCCTATGATGGAATGTGATATCTTTCGTTGCATTAAGGATTCCAAGGGTGAGAAGTAGGAAATATCGGAACAAGCGGACGTGGAATTTGAGAGTTCGTCAGGAAACGAGTGCTTTGCTTCTTTTGGTGAACAAGCCATTCCTTGGAGAAGACGGGTGTGTCATGTCCGATGCATAAAAAACCCTAACCCCCCGTCGTGGTTGCTGATTTTGAGTTGGAGCATCCTGGCCGACTCCAAGAAATTGATTTGGGGGCACGCGCAGCTGCATATTGAGAGTCTTCAATTTTGGAGGTCCCAAATCAGAAAATGCAGTGACGAGATGAACGCCTGTTTTTGGTGTCTGTTCCTTTTTGATCTTGTTTGGATCGGAACAATTCTGCCCGTCATTCGCTGTGGTGCAAAATTGCAGGTGTTAGTCAAAGTCTTGGCATATCCAATTGCAACCCGAATCAAGCCCCTGAATCGTGGGTCATTGCCCCGTCGGAACATCGAGGACACTCTTCGATATTTCATCACACAAATTACTTGCTGATGTAGGACACACTTTGATTAATCTGAAAACCCTCCCAAACCGTTTATCATTCTTCAGTTTTGTACAAGGCTTGTGCAACACATACCTAACAATCGGTTAACGGGAGACGGCCCGTCATGCCATGTGGCTGCTGACCGTCTGACGTTGTGTTATGTTGGAGCTTTGATCCTTCCTTTTGCTGGTCGTGGAATTCTCTGGTTTTACACACGATTCTACAATTTCCTTTTTGGGGGTCAGTCACTACCTACAAAAGAAGGCAAGAGCGAACTTCAGACTTGTTGCGCGTGCGAAACCGTGATATTCCAATTTCTGTCTCCCGACTACTAACAAAGAGTCATCGTGTAAGGAATGAACAGCTGGCCAAGCTGGTAAAACACGAATACGTCATTAACAAACTGAAAACCACCTCTCAATCTTCAAATCTTCCCCCGGTGCAAAACATCGCACTCTCATCATCCTCTAAGCTTGACGCCTAAGCGCGGCAGACAGTAGCTGGAACGCCCAGGCCAAAGTTGTTGCATTTACCCGAGCCGCACTGCTGAACGAAGCGCCAGACGTAACCGGTGGGGTCGGTCTCGTAGATGGCGTCGAAGAGCTGGCCCTCGGTGGTTCCGAGAGGGGAGATGGCAAAGAGGTGAGCCTTGTCAGAGCCTGACGTGGGATTTTCTGTTAGTATTTGTCCCTCTTTTGACTGGCCGATGTGATTTGTTGAACTTGAAAAGGAAGGAACCTACAGTTGAGCTCGTTAAGGATACGCCAGCCGCAAAGCTGGACGCCGGCAGGGCAAGCGACCTGGCGGGTCTCGACGGTGACCTCGGTAGGGGCACCCTGAGCGGTGGCGGCGAGGGCCGCGATGGCGACGACGATGGTGTTGAGGGCAAACATTTTGGTTGATTGGTTTGGAAAGTGAGGGTTTGAAATGTGAGTTGTTGGCTGGTGTAGATGCTTGTGAAGTATGTGATGATGAGAGAAGAAGAACTGTTGTATCGACGAAGGTTCCTCGGTCTTTATAGACTTTGGACATCCAGCAGTCGTGAGGTTCAAGACTGGCATTTTGCGCAGTTGAGTGCTGGATGATACCGAATCTGTCCATATCATGATCCTTCGTGTTGGAAAAGCCACATACATCACACCGCCATGATGTTGTTGAGAATGTCGACCAACGGACCAACAGACTCAGGGTGAGCAGCCGACTTCTACGCCTCTCGGTTTGGCGACCAGAATCATCCTCACCGGCTTCAATGTTTCCTAATTGGGCGAAGAAGCTGACACACGCCCAAGTATCATGGTGAGAGCCATCGTCTCGCGTGGGTTGCTGTTCAACCTCTTGACTAACTGTTCTCGTGAACTCAGTGTCTCATCGGCGGTGGGCGCTGCGCACTTGGGTACAGACGCGATGAGTGACGCTCGCTGAATTAGCCTCAAAGCATCGACCATGTCCTTGTTTCTATGTGGCCAATGTTGCCGCCGTCGCTGTATTCACGATCCTCCCCGGACTCCCAAGTTCTGGTTAGTCAGTCGCGTATCCGTAATTTTTCAGAGAGATATGGTTTTATCTCTCCAACCCCTTCTCCATGAATCTAAAGACATCCACTGATGGACATGGCAGTTTATTCCTTGCTCATTTCGCCGGTTGGACCGTTGCCTCCAAAGCACAACCAAACTTCCGAGACTTTGGGTCCTTGGACCTCAGATTTCCGAGGCCTTGGCTCAGCCCTGTTCATATTGCCTGCCTAAGCTGCCACGTGCTGTAAATTGCTTGACCGACCAAGTAAACTCTTACTCCGTCCTATGGCTGGTGACCCGTCTTTGGAAGTTCATTGGAAGCTTTCGGCTCCAGGCGCCTGGGACACCGGCTGTGACCTTGCGGCCCGGTAGTTGACTGGTCGGTTTTGGCCATGGTTGATTTGGGCATGTCCAAGTTGGGTAGGGCTGAGCCGCAAGCCTCGAGGGGGGGATCATGTTGATGTTACATAGCAGAATGACAGAATCCTTCCTGGCAGAGTACGTAGCAGGCCGGTCACGCGGGGAGAACCTCGTTGGTAGTTGAGGCTAAGTATTGGCTTGCCGTTCTCGGTAGCATTACCGAACGTGAGTGAAGGCTTGGAGACTTGGGGTTGATGTTGTTCGGGTACGGTTCCAGAATCCAGTCAGCTTATCACCGATGTTTCTGTACAGGTTTTGAATACTCGCCAAAGTCCCCAAACAAGCATTTATGCCGAGTTCCTCTCCAAATGGACCATGACTGCAGTGCCCAGAAGCTACCGTCACCAACACCAACAATCCTCAACTCGCGAAGTACATCGCAGGGCGTGGGGTGCTCATACTGTTCAGCATCCTTATAATCCAACTTGGAACATATCATTCTTCCAACAGCGATGAGTCCTGCCCAAGCCACTGGCCAAGCCAGCACCAACGTGTACCGGCAAAGTTCAGAGTTTGGTTCGGTGTTGTGTACTAACTTGAATTCAATGTGACAAAGTTGTCGTCGAGGACTTGAACGAAAACTGTCACGTTACACCAGTACTATCCAAAGACCATCTGAGCCTGTCAACCCGGCAGCGCCGCTCCTCGTGGCTTCATTGCGCCGCAGCGGCGTATTGCGAACCAAGTTACCGGTGTTAGGTGGTGCTCAATGGTTGTGTGGGGGTAGTACTTGCGCGTTGTACGTAATGTTTGCAGAAAGGACACTGTGTAAGTGATGTTACACCTCGATCTCTGAATGAAGATATTCGGATGTGAACTACTATGGTCTGTGAACGTCGTTCGTCAAAGTTTCCGATGGAGTTGCAGTTGAGAATCGGGATTGGGATGACTTACACGCGGTAACGTAAATTACCGTATCGTGAAGATGCGTATAGCACGAGGAATATGAAAGCATGACCCCCGGATCGTCCTCAACCGGCTAAAAACCGAAGTGTTCATTGTGCCCATAGTACTGCAGCTCTGCTCGGACCAAAGACCGCTCCATGAATCTCGGTTTTTGCACGCATTCCTTGAGCCGTGCAAACAACTTGACAAATCTCGAAGGGGTGTTGTCTCGAGAAGGGCGAGGGCGGCGGTGAAAATTACAAGCTGGGCCCACGAACCAACAGTTGACACAACTCCACTGTTGCGGCTCGCCCGGGGCTTCTGTTTAGTGGAACTGACGCACGCCAAGACTTGGGGGTTCCTGACAGGGGGCAGCCAGGCCGGCTGTCGTTAAGGAAGCGGTGATACCCGGCAATATCGTCCATTCAGACGCTGGCCTCCACGAGCACAAGATGACTGCTGCTGTTGGGACGCGATGGTCTGCGTGCTGGAGATGCCATATCATAGCGTGGAAGTGGTCTCTTTCAAATCGTGTTCATTAGCGTGTATTATTATAACCAACTTGGTGTTGCGTAAGACAAAAACAGGAACAAGAACCCAGAGAACGCCTCATTGTAACCAGCAAGTCATCAACATGTCTGTTTCCTTTCAGATGAGGCCTGCCCGAGCAGCCTCACTTCCACCCTCCTCCAGGATGATCTCCACCTTCTGTTTTCCCTTACCGATGCTGCCCTCACCAACGCCCATTCTGCGCGCAACGTAGCGCTGGGCGATGACACCCACAGAGAGGCTCAGTGCCTCCTCCACCCACTCAGCGACCCACTCGCGGGGGTCGACACTACCGCTCTCGACGATGTCGCGAATCTCCTCCGGGACGCGCTCAAAGTCGAACTCCTCACCCTCGTCAGCACTGCCCGGGGTAAGGGGCGCGGCGGCAGCGTCTAGCCAGCGGATCCACTTGGCGGGAATGGACTGGCTGACAGCCGAGTACTGAATATCATGGATGGGATCGAAGATGTAGACGGCGAAGCAGACCAGATCGTCAGTCTTATCCTCGTCCAAAACATCAGATGACTCCTTCTCCTTCTCTGAAGCTGACGAGCCCGCCAAAGAGCGCCTTGTCCTCCTTCACGCCAATGGCCTGCACCGACAGGAAGATGTCCGAAGTCCGAACCGGGTTGCTTTCGCGAGCGGGCTCCATTGCTCGCTGGCGCGCCGCCTCAATGCCGCCGTGGGCGGCGAAATAATCGTTGGCATAGCCCTCTGCGTTAGCCCGGCAGAGCTTGGTTCCCTCGACCATACCGTTGATGATGCCCAAGTCGCGAGGGATCTCGACCTGCCGCCACCACGGTCCGTCGCGCCAGCCGACTGTTGATGAACCACCGAAGAAGGAAGGCTTCTCGGACGAGTTGCGTGCTGTTGACTCTTGACCTCGCTGGATGACCAGGAGATCGCCGCCCTCGACCTGGGACATGACGCGACTAAAGACACCGTGGATGAGAGGATCGAGGGAGGGGTATCCGACGAGGTCGTGGGTTATGTGGATGAGGAGCCGCTCGTGCGACGAAATAGGCGGGGCGAGGGTATGAAGAATATTGGTGAACGTCGGGATGGCGCGATGGACGAGATCTTCTCCGACTATTACGAAGGATACTAATCAGCAATTGATTGCAATGACAGAGAGGAACATGACGCTGACGGGAGTGATTCCATCTGAAGGGCAAGACTTACCGAGGCCGCGCAAAGCGCCCACGTTACCGCGAACCTGGTCGGCCCATTTCTTGGCCTCCTCGTTCTGCTGAATCTCCTTGACGGCGGCTTCGGCTTGCTTGACAGCGGCAGCAGCAGTCGAGGCGGCAGTAGACAAGAAGCCTCCCCACCAGCTTCCGCCAGTGCTTGCAGCTGGTTGTGGCTTCTCAGCAGGCTTCTTCTCGGACTCGTTCGGATCGGAGCTTGTCGCGCTGGGTGTAAAGGTGCCAGTCGGGTGAGACGCGGTGCTCTCGACCGACTTTCGTGTGGGAGCGCCAGTGTCAGCAGCGGGAGGTGGTGTGTTGGTCGACGTGCGCTTCGCTGGCGAAGCTTTGGCGGCGATATCGCGAACGCGAGGGGTATGAGGTCTTTCGGGAGCTTTCGAGACAAGCTCGTCCTCTAGCTCAGCCAGAATATCTCGGTCGGCGGCATCGTTCTTGGGCTTAGCAGGTGCTCGCTTGGTCTTGGGTGTCGATGACTTCTTGATGGCAATGTCATCACCGATGCCCTCAAAGAGCTCACCAAGCTCGTCGTCGGTAGGGTCGGTCTTGGATCGTTTGGTGGCCATTGTGCTTGTTGGCGGGCGATGTACGTCCCGATGTTCTGTTGTGATGTCGAGGGTGGAATGATGTCCCCGGGTGGATGGGCGGGTGGATTCTATCGAGATAAGGGAGCACAGGGCAGTCCAGGGACGGGCACCCAATGCGTTGCAGGGACCAAACAGATTGGGTGCGGATTTGCGGGGTTGCACGAACATGTACCCAGGTACCTTTGCACCCTTAAACGGCCAGGTAAAAAAACCATCTCCATCACATAATACAGGATCTAAAAAGGGTTTGACTGATCCTGTCCGTCGATTCCCACACAATATTACATCTGGATACAATGCTAAAATTCACCGCGTGAAGCCCAAATGTAGCAAGAACCTGGCGATGGACCACACGACAACTGAATCGTCACTCTGGGCCTCTGTGGTTGCTTCTAGGAGGCGTGACGGGGTTGCTGGGGATCCACTTGATTCTTGCAGCCCTTCCTTCCGTTCTTGATGACAGCCTCATCATCACTCGTCAGCCTTATTGTTTCAGCGTACTGATGGAGCCGAGCCTGGGTCAAAAACCTGAACGTGATTAGGAAACCTCAATTGCCTGGCAGATTGCGGTGGCTCACTCAGGTTTTGCCCAGAGTGAATCCAACCACGCAGGTCGTGCCATGAATGACATGAAGCAAAAGACCGGCCAAGGTGCTGTTGATCCACAGTTGCAGGCGTGGATTTGTGAAGTGTGATTGGCCAGCTGTCTTATTCAACATTTGCTGGAGCATGTTAGTGGCCTTGTCGGCTGGCATGCAGCTGCAGTGTGGGTCTACCAGGGCAGTACTGACCACATGTACTCGCATGTGATTGGTCGTGGCTTATTCGGGAATCTGAACCACCAAAATTGACGTGAGGAAGAAATCTACTCAGCCGTCAAGTCACGGCCACTTCCCAGCCAAAAGTCAAGCAGCGAAACTGGAAGACGCCGCAACGTCTTCTCTACCTCTCGCCCACTTTGCTCGCCGGGAAGTTACACCATCCCACATACTCGTCAATTCAGATCACCCGTCTTCAACGCGCTTCCCTGGGTTTTTCTTCAGACGGTGCACACATTCACCAAACTGCTTGGCCCCGGCGGCTGGCACTAATACCGCCCATCCCGTCTCTGTACTTGCTTTTGCCCGTGCGTCCGGCCTCACTTTTCGCTCAACCTCCAACACCCGACAAACCTACCCAGTCTCAGGTTGTCTACTACTTCACACAACTCTGGCCAATCCTCTGCCGCATTCTTTTCAGGAGGAATTGACGACGAACAGCCAGCCTTGCCAGACAGCGAGCATTGCTATTCGGCATCTTTTCGAGTACAATCTTTTTCACCCAACCAGACCACACTTGCAACCCGCTGGGCACTGAGCGAACGCCAAGCCTGAGCGTCTTAGATCCAACCATTGACAAGCTGAAGCAAGCCGACTCCCTGACACGTTGAAAGGTTAGTGCATTTTTTTGACTTTTTCGCCTCACACTGGCAAGAGTCTATGTTCCACAACCGCCCAAATAGTGTCAAGTTCTCACTCTGACCAGCCGACAGCTGAGGCTCAAATAAGTCTGTGCAGTCCAGTCTGTCCTTTTGCTGCAGTGACTTACACCGGCTTTAACATGGAGCGCGGACGTGGCCGCGGCGGGCGCGCGACCAAGAAAATGCGTGGGACCCTGTCATCTACATCTCACCATCAACACCAGAACAGCCAACAACAGTTTAGCCAGCATAGTCAACAGCAGCAACAACATCAACAGCGCCCTATTGCTCAGCAGCACGAATTCGAGCATTCATTTCAGATTACACCCTTCAGCCAAGCCAATGGCTTTAGCAACACCAATACTGTAACTGGCACTGTTAACCCTTCCATTCCTGGCAGCAACTCACATGCGCCTCACCCCTCCTCCACCACCTACACCCCCTTTTCGGATCTGTCCACTCAGAATCCTCCATTCTCCTTTACAGCGCATTCGGAGAACAATCAACCACACCCTTCAATGCACGCATATCCGCAGATGCATGGGCATCAAACTCAGGGTCAACAATTCGAGCAGCAGCAACAACAGCAGCAATACCAGCAACAGGCCCATCAACGACCAGGCCATCAACGCGCTTCTTCAACCAGCTCCTTCCGAGGTGCTAGGAGCAGGCAAGTCGTTTATGCAAGCCATCAACAGCGCCGCACTGCTTCTCCAACCGCTCCAGATTCTACCTCTTCTTTCCGCGTCACTCCGCATAGTGATCGCATCATCCAAACCACTCCATTCACCTTTGAGGTCCCTTCGAACATTGCCATGCCTGCTGGCACATCATCAGCTCGCAAAAGGTCCAAGACCTTTGACTCCTCTCATGAAGCCATTGTTGAGCACGGTGAGGGAAACTCAAATGACAAAGGTGGCCACTCTCTTAGGAAGCGTCAAAAGGTCGATTACAACCAGGAGACAATTGAGGATGTTTCGGGCGCTCCCCTCACCAGAGTCGATTCGTTATCAAGACTGCCGCCATACCAGCCACCCGTGGACGCCGGCGAAGGGTACCCAAGGGGAGTCTGAGGCTGAAGAAGTCAAGGACCATGATCATACGGCCTTGCGGAACAAGCGGAGCAACAAGTCTCCGGCTCCTGCACGTAACTCATCCTCTCACCGGAAGCCAGCGTCTAAGAAACCAGCTACCGCGCAGAGCACTTATGTTGAGCATCAGTCAGACAATGACGTGCAAGACACCATCTTGGTTGGTGTCTCGATGGATGAGATACTTGAAGTAGACGAAGAGGTGGAGCAGTCCACAGTTCAAGGTGCATCCGCGGAGGATCAGTCGCCAAAGCCCAAGGGAAGCGGTGCTGTCTCTCAAGGTGAACAGCCATTGCCTCCCACTGCTGATGAAGCAGTACAGGCGCCCAAGGATGACAACATTGCACGCATCAGCAATGAGGATGAATCGACGCGAAATCCATCGACACGGGAAAGTGGTAACACCGCTTCTTCCAACAAAACCTCGACCAATGAGCCATGTTCACACCAGGTATCTGCCGCCTCGGACGAGATCGAGAAATCAGGTCCATCGGATCATCACCCAAGTCGCCAAAATCTGCTTCATGATGGGCATTTTAAGGAGGAGCCCACAGAGCAAGATGAAGCAAGCAATTTGCACTCCGTGCCAGAATTGATTCCACAAGCCCATCCCTCGCCACCGACCTCTTCTTCAAAGGTTAACTCTCAACCAAGCAATCGTCCGCCATCCCCACCTATCACCACACAAGGTGATGAGTCGGTTGCGGCAGCCTCGCCGTCGTCATCTTCTCAGATCGTACGACCTCCTAAGCCGGGTTTCCCTCCCCGCATGAAGAACCTCGAGAAGGTCTATAGTCTCGAGACACCTACAGCTGCTTCTCTGAAGCTCACGCCCTATGTGGACGACGATGTCACACACCCCGGCCCCTTCACTGAAAGGCTTGTCCTTGATCCTATGACCAAGGCTAATCCTACGCCTATACCGACACCGGCCACGTCACCGGCTCCCACGCCTGCACAAACGGTACCGCTCGCCTCGGCCGCCGTCCCAGAACCCACGTCTGCTGAACTCAATTGGGATGGGCGCCGCAAGCTGAACAGGGAAGAGTTTTACAAACTCTGGCGACAGGAAACGGCCAAGAGGGTGGCGAGTGGGCAACCTCGTATGTCGATGATGGAGTTTCAAAAGAACTACTACATTCCACGGCTACTGGAGGCACGGGCTGAGTCTGGAGGCGAAATATCGGAAGGACTCCCCCCAGTAGAGCCAGCTCCGGCATCGAAACTGAAGCAAGCATCTCGTCCAGCTGATGATATGCCGCCAACTGAACCTCCGACTGCCGCGCCTTCTCCCTCCGAGATGGTAGATGATGACGATTTGGCAACCGGATCTGTCGGCGATGATGAAGATGGACAGTATGTCAATGGGCCAGTGTTCGACTCCGAAAAAGTCGCTGGTTCTATCGAGCCCTTGGAGGTG